TTCCCTTGGCGGTTTCAGAGTCTTTCTTTGGTGCTCTGTTATTTTATGCAGGGTTCCTACATAGGAATAGAAATGCGTACCTTAGAAACGCCTCGGTTACTGTAACTGGCAAGTGAGGATCTCTGGAAAGAGCATTTGTTCATTTAACAGGACTGGAACGCAGCCGCAGCTTCTTGCTTTTTTATATTTTTTTTCCTGGTGATGGTTTTTAAAGCATTTGAACTGCAACGATATTGCAAGAGGAAGAATGGACTTTTCCCGGGTTGGCAGACTCCATCTAGCCATGGCAGCCTGCAGCAGGATTTCTGTGGCTGCTCACATGTCCTGCCTGGTGTAGAGCTGGCTTCATCCAAGCTCCTCCGCTCACCACTGACCTCGGCTGAGCACCTCACAGATGGGTCCTGCGAGGGGCACGGCAAGGAGACATCCGTCCCCGGTCAGGGGGACAGAGGGGAGCCGGCCCCTCATGCACAGCCCATAGTTGGGGGACAGCAGAGCCCGCATCTCCTGTGGGGAGGGCAGCGACCCACTGGCTGGAGTGGCGAGGTCACGCCTGGAAGTGCAGCACTGGCGCAGTGGCCAGCATGGGCCCCTTCTCACTGCACCATCTAGACCTGCCCAATTCATTCCTTTAATTCATTAACTCACTTCTTCATTCACTCACTTCACTTGTTCATCATTCCGCCATCCCACTCCAGGGCTTGCTGAGCGCTTTCCCGGTGTCTGTGTGTGGCCCTGTGCTGGGAGCTGGACACAGGGACCCTCCAGACCTGGGCCCTGGGCTCCGCAAGCTTCCAGGCCACTGAGAGGAGTGGCCAGGCGCCAGTCAGTGCTGTCCTGAGGGCTGGGGCTGCTGCAGCCAATGGTGACAGAGGCACATCAAGTGATTCCTTCTGGAGAACAGGCCACAGCTGGGCAGGGGGGTGACGGGCTCCTGTGACCCTGACGCCAGGGGGAACTCAAGTCTTGCTGCCTATACGACATTCACATCCACGCAGAGGCTGCTGGTCAGGGATGTGGGGAAGAGCGGGGACGGCACAGATGGGACGCGTCCCCCCAGCCATCCTGGGTTGGGAAGGCCTAGATGGCCGGGTGTGGGGGTGGTGCTCACACAGATACAAAGTCCAGGCTCCACAGAGGCCAGGCCTTCTGTGCAGGACCAGAATTCACAGACAAGGGCCCGCCCAGAGCTCACACTGCGGCCACCCTAGATCCTGAGAGCCCCACGCTGAGGAGGGAGAACCGGAAGCAGAGAGCAAAGCCGGTCTGGGCACACATGGGCAAGGGCACAGAGAACACAGGGCGGGACTGTTGTCCTCACCTCAGCAGTTTCCCCAGTGCACGGATGGCCCCTCCCCTGCCCCCAGGGACACTGACCGCCCCCCTTTCCTCCTCAGAATTCAGGCCCAGTGAATAGGCAGAGGTCCTGAGACCGTGGCCATCAGAACGGTCTAAGAGTACAGGAAGAAGCACAGATTCCTGGGCCCAGCTCCTAGGGTCCAGTCTGGCCACAGCCTCTTTGTGTGCTCAGGACTCTTAGAGACGTTCACATATATTATCTCCACCGATGCTTACGACTCTGGAAGGCAGGTAGTTCTACAACCTTTACAAAGGAGGAAACCAATTTGGAAAGGTTGAGAAACGTTCCCAACGTGCCATTTCACAGCAAATGACAAAGTTAGGATTTGAACCTGGGCCTAACTCCCAAGTCTGCTTACTACGCTCCTGTGCCACGTCCCAAAGGCTGGCAGAAAAGACATCCACCAGGGTCTTTAAGGATGACGACGCAGGCAAATGTTCCTAAACAATTATTTTGTTTTTAGAAGCCTTGCTCTGCAGCAAATTAAAAAACAATTCAAGAGATGTCAAGAATTTTTGGCAAACAAATAACGCATCTAAGAACAAACACCCAGGGAGGACGCGTGGGCAGCTGTTCTTGGGTTGTTTTCATTCCCCGAGTGCTCCGCCCTGTAAGACTAGATGTGTGTTTTCTCTTGCAAAGCAAACAGTTTAGCACAATGTGGGCCTCCTTGCTTGAAAGGTTTCAGATGGAGCTTGTGAACCACATAAAAGGTTAGGCAAAACTTGCTCCCAACTCAGTGCAGTGGCTGGGCACAGAGCCCCCAGGGACCGAGCAAACCTCCTCGTCTGTCTCCTAGGCCTGGGTGTAAATGGAGGAGGTGAAGGGAGGAAGGTCCTTTCACAAGTCATTGCACATTTTCCCTTCACGACACAACACGGGGCTCCCACTGACCACTGTGGAGCTGGGGACATCCTCCTCCAAGCATCGCAAAGCAAACCAAGTCCCTTCCTGGGTGGCTGCTGGACAGGCTGGCGGGATGGAAATGCGCTGAGGTCAGTCCTTGCACTTCAATGGGTGCAGGTGGGTGGAGCCTTCCCGGAAGCCACAGGAACACCGGGTTCTGGGTTCTCATGCAGAGCGGCCCTGACCTCCCAGATTTAGGATCAAAGCCCACAGGCCAAGAAAAACCCTCTAATGTAAGCGGCATGACAGCAAGTGGCCCCAGAGGGGAATGCAAAGGCGAGAGTGCCGGGAACCACGGCACAGCACACGCGGCACAGGCCCGCTCAGGCCAGAGACCGAGCGCGTCTTCCCCTCTTCACATGGAGAGTAGAGGCTCCGGCAGGGCCACAGGGGAGCCACCCAGCTGGGCTCCTCCGCAGGTGCCTGTGGGGCCAAGCAGTCCCCACTGTGGCCAATGCTGGGGCTCCATGCAGGGAGCCTGTCGTACCCAGCCCAGCTGCCTCGAGCAATTAGGAGGTGGCTCCCACACCAGGAAGGACAACCCCAAGGTTCCTCGGTCTGGTCCAGAGAGACAGGATGCTCACAGGCAGGCAGCAGCTCCAAATAGAAGCCTGGGCTCCACTCCAGCCATGGCCCCAGGGCTCAGGAGAGCCACCCAGGGTGGACAGAGTCACATCTGTGCATGCCCACCTTGCACCGCAGAGGGACCCAAAAGTGCTCTGCCCTGGTTTTTGTAGCCTGGGTACCACTGGGCTCACCGAGCAGATGCATTGCAGAGTATCCCATCTGGGAGGACCAAGGCCACACCCTGGGCTGTTCGGGTCATTTCCTCCTTTTTCCAGGGTGTTGCATTCGGTCAATTCTGCAGGAGAACTGCAAGCCAGAGAGGGAAGAGCCGTCATCCATCCAGGGCCCTGTCCTCCTGCAGCCATGGCCTGTAGTTGTGCTTCCACTGTGGTCCGTGATTCCCATGGCATGCCCCACTCCGTAGGGTGGCTTTGGCCTTATCATGGTGGCAACATGGCTAAGGCCACCTGAAGCTCCTCAGTGGCCATGGCAATGTCCCCCAGAAGCAAGAAGCCACTTCTGTCCCAACGTCCCCAGCCAGTCTTTAAGACTGAACCCAACAGGACCCTTGGGCTCGGCCTCATCACTGAGCCAGTCCCTGGGGCCAAGGGGATGGAAGGTGCTGGGGCACTTCAGCCAAGGTGAGCCAGTGCTGGGGCAGGGCAGCTTCCCAAGGCTTGGGGCTGTCCACATCCAGGGAGAAATCTGGACAGAACTGGGGTTCTGTTAGTGAGAAGGAAGGGTTGGAAGTTGGACAGGAAGCCCAAAGGGTCCACCACATAAGGAGGGAAGCCAAGACCCCCTGACTTCCAGGGGATCCATGGCTGGGACATGCTTCAGATGGGGCCACGGCCCTATAGGACCCATGAAAAGCCTGGGAAGTGTCTTAGTAAAAGGCCCACATGAACAACATCAAGCAGGAAGGCAGCTTCTTGTGATGAGGTGCTCCTATGGCACATGCTGTCCCCACACAGTGCTATGTGTAGCTAGGTGCTCGCTAAACACTGGTCAGATGGACACTCCCTGCTGGCCGGCAGCCCAGGGACTGGAACCACCTGAAACCTGGAGGGCGGGGTGGATACACAATGATGGGGGAACGTGATTCACGCTTGGGCTGAGCCGTCAGAAGTGTATCCAAACCAAGCTTCCAAGTGGCTGCTCCATGTCAACTACACATCCTAAAATGAAAGCGTTCCCACGCCTCTGCCACCATCAAGATCCTTAGTGACGACAGCTGCAAAGACCTCAACCCCAAGATATTTCTGGGCTTTCACAGATGATGGGGTCTGGCTGATTTTTATCTGCTTCATCCGCCTGTGGTTTTGAGATGTCTCTGCATGCATGGATCCCAGCTGGTTCCGTGTAGCCTCAGGAAGCTCACTCTGTGTTTATGCTCAGGATGAGAAACTTCTCTCTTTCTGCAGGCATCTCCCTTGGTGAGTCACAGAGATTTCTGGCCGCGGGCACAGTCACGGACACACACTTGTGTCCACTGCCAAGCAAGACTGTCTTTGCAGTCCACCCTCCACACAGCATCAAACTAATGTGAAGGCTGAAGGCATTCCCATAATGGCAGACACCAGGCAATGGTGCCCCAGCACGGTGTGGAAGATTGTTCCGGCAGGGCCAGCAGATGTCATTAGATGGGAAAGTTAAATGACGGGTAAAAGTTTTGGAAGGTGTATTAGTCCGTTCTCACTCACACTGGTATAAAGAACTGCCCAAGACCGGGTAGTTTATAAAGGAAAGAGGTTTAATTGACTCACAGTTTAGCATGGCTGGGGAGGCCTCAGGAAACTTACAATCATGGTGGAAGGGGAAGCAAACACGTCCTTTTCCACATGATGGCAGGAAGGAGAAGTGCCGATTAAAGGGAGGAACGTCCCTTATAAAAACATCAGATCTCATGAGAACTCATTCACTATCACAAGAACAGCATGGAGGTAACTACCCCATGATTCAATTACCTCCCACCAGGTGCCTTCCATGACTCGTGGGGACTATGGGAACTCCAGTTCAAGAGGAGATTTGGGTGGGGACACGGCCAAGCCATATCAGAAGGGTAAGGGTAAACCATCACTATTTGCCAATGATAGAGAAGGAAAATCAAAGAGAATCCATGAAAAACCGTAATAATAAAAATAAGGGTTCAATAAGGTGACCAAAATAAACAGACAAAAACCACACAGCTTTTTATCAAAAACAGCTTGAAGAAATAGTCTTAGATGGGAAGACCACTTACCATGAAGATACAGACTCTCCTGATGTGAATCTAAAAGTTAAACAAAACCTCCAGACAAACTCCAGAGAACATTCTTTAATATGGGGGTGGGAGAATGCTCAGACTTGACAAATAACACCAAAGTTCACATACATAAGACATTTTTGGGAAAGATGAGAAATGAGGCTTTATTTGCTCCAACAGATATTAAAAGTATGAGAACTACAACCATGAAAACAACAGAAGCTGATGTGAGAAACAACAGTAAATTTAAACAGTGCAGACAGAGGTCCAGCAACAATGATTTTAGCACTCATACAGGTGGCGTTTCGGTCAGTGCATGATTCAGTGGGCGAAGCATTTCAGATCCTTGTCTCACATCACATCTCGAAATACATTCCCAGTCAATTAAACACGGAAACGTACTCAGAGAAAAAGAGATGAAAATGTAAATAATTTTGGTGTGGGAAAGGACTTTCCAAGCATGATCTCAAAGGCTAGAGCATAAGAGTCTTCGTTTTAAAATGTGCAAGTATTTCTGATTTAAAAATGTAAACTTTAGCAGGTTACATCAAAAAGAAAAAAAATACAGTTAAATGGCAAATGATGCCTGAGGAATAATGATTTACAGTGAATATGTTACAGGTTTGCTGTGCTTAATAGGTACAAATATTTTACAAGCCAACAAAATATTTTCAAAACGAAATGCTTTATTAGATAGAGAATAAGAATGGGCAGTTACCACAGCAGAACAAATATGAACAGACTTCAAGCATAGGGGAAGGCATGTTCAGCCACAGGAGGGGCAATAAGAAGGAAATCTATACAGAAGACACCAATTTTATGTTCCCGTCAGGTCGGTAACAGGCAGAGAACAAACACGCCACTGCTGGCAAGACTTCTACATTCTAGAGGGAATGAGGGCTTCCTGCTGAACATGCTGGGAAGAGGAGACTTACCAAGCACTGTCTGCAGGCCGGGCTCTGTTGCTTTCATGCATTAACCCGTTTTAACACCAACAACAGCAGGATGGGGAAGATTCTCTTATTCATTTCATCAATGAGGGAAGTCCCACATCCAACAGATAGTGCAGCTGCTGTCCACCCAGGAGCTTGCCCTAGACTCTGCTCCTTCGTTCCCACTTGTTGCTCCACCCGCCTCACTGCCTCCCACCCTGGCGGTTTCAGAAACCTCCCCTGTGCAGAGCGTGTCTCAGCAAAGCCACTGGGACCAACCCACCTACCGTGATGCATGCGCACGGATGGCTGCCACGGAGCAGAAGCCTTGAACTCTCCATCTCTAGGAGGAAGTTTGCTAATCTTGTACATTCATGTTACTGGACTGGGAAAATGGCTGTGACATGACTTTAAGTGGAAAAAGATGTCCACAGAGTACGACCCACTTCTGATACGAAAACCACACACACGTACACAGAGGAAGAAAGTGGGCATGAGCAGAACGGTGCACGCTAACATGATCCCAGCAGGTGAGAGGAAGAAGTGTGCAGAACGGCGCACGCTAACACGATCCCGGCATGTGGGTGGAAGGAAGTGAGCAGAACAGTGCACATTAACACGATCCCGGCCTGTGGGTGGAAGGAAGTGAGCAGAATGGTGCACGCTAACACGATCCCGGCCTGTGGGTGGAAGGAAGTGAGCAGAACGGCGCACGCTAACACGATCCCGGCCTGTGAGAGGAAGGAAGTGAGCAGAACGGTGCACACTAACACGATCCCGGCCTGTGGGTGGAAGAAAGTGAGCAGAACGGCGCACCCTAACACGATCCTGGCCTGTGGGTGGAAGGAAGTGAGCAGAATGGTGCACGCTAACACGATCCCGGCCTGTGGGTGGAAGGAAGTGAGCAGAACGGTGCATGCTAACACGATCCCGGCCTGTGGGTGGAAGGAAGTGAGCAGAATGGTGCACGCTAACACGATCCCGACAGGTAAGTGGAAGGAAGTGAGCAGAACGGCGCATGCTAACACGATCCCGGCCTGTGAGAGGAAGGAAGTGAGCAGAACGGTGCACACTAACACGATCCCGGCCTGTGGGTGGAAGAAAGTGAGCAGAACGGCGCACCCTAACACGATCCTGGCCTGTGAGTGGAAGGAAGTGAGCAGAACGGTGCACACCCTAACACGATCCTGGCCTGTGAGTGGAAGGAAGTGAGCAGAACGGTGCACACTAACACAATCCCGGCCCGTGAGTGGAAGGAAGTGAGCAGAATGGCGCACGCTAACACGATCCCGGCCTGTGGGTGGAAGGAAGTGAGCAGAACGGTGCATGCTAACATGATCCCGGCCTGTGGGTGGAAGGAAGTGTGCAGAACGGTGCACGCTAACATGATACCAGCAGGTGAGGGAAAGGAGAACAGTGCACACTAACACGTTCCCGGCAGCTGAGAGGAAAGCAGACACCAGGGCCAGGAGACGGGGGCCCTCGAGGGGGTGCAGGAAGGACTTTGGGGCAGGGGCAAGTCACTGTCAATGTCCGGCTTCCGGCTTCAGTGCTGAGTAGAGCATCACGGGCATGAACCAAGGGGTACAATGAATCAAATTCTGGGCCCAAAAGTAAATCAATTAAATCGGCGGGGCAACCATTTCTCCATGTGGAGTTATAAGTGATATCTATTTTCATCTTTAAACTTTTCTACATTACCAAAATAGCACCTAACAATCACGTTAGTTTTACAATCAGAAAGCGAGTGGCAGAAAGCGATGACATTAAACTGAACATTTTTATTCCAATTATTCAAGTTTTTCCTGTGCAATGTTTTCAAATGTTTTATTTTCAAAATGACCATCACAAAAAAATGTAGTTTCTAGAATGTCATGGCTACACCTTAACCTAACCCACTCTTGCAGTGGGGGCAACAGCTTTGGGAGCAGGGACCATGTGTGGGGGCTGCACCCTTGCAGTGTGTGGCCTGGACACGGCCCAAGCCCTCCGCTGCCCACAGACAACACTTTCACATTAATTAGTATGCATGCCCATCAAATCCTGCTGTAAACCAAAACTAAAGTTCTAAGTCCCCCAGCCGACTGAGTGGATCCCCTTTCAGCCAAGGGGACCCAAAGATACCTGAAAACCAAGTTCAGGCCATGAATAGGAAGGAGGGTTGGGGAAGCCTCATTATACCCACCCCCCCTTTGGAATTTAGACACAAATGACCAACATTAAAATGACAACAGAGATCCTAGACTGACAAAACAGACTCTTTGTAGCAATAAGATACCCAGTTCAACCGGACTCCAGTGTGGCATCACATGACAGATAATAGCCCTGAAGGAAATCAAAGTATTTTACCCCAAAATATATTTCCTTGACATATTTTGAAATGGCCCTTGCAAAGCTGTCTCTCGTGGGGGAAATTTGCTTTCTGCAGAGAATCTGCTTCCCTTATTAGGCTTTTTCTGGAGAGTCTGACACCTTTTAAGGTCCTGTAAGAGACAAACACATCTATTCTCTCTGAAGCCTGCTATCTGGAGGCTTCATCAACATGACAAAAACCTTGGCTTCCACAATCATCCTCCCCCCACCTTAACTCAAGCTGAGTTCAACTCTTTAGACAAAGCTTACCTCTTTCAACCCATTGCCAATCAGGAAATTTTTGAATCTACCTGTCAGAGACGTGTGAACCAGAGAAACTCCATCTAGAATATGAGCTGGGTAAAACAAGGCTGAGACCTACTGGGCTGCATTCCCAGATGGTTAGGTAGTCTAAGTCACAGGATGAGATAGGAGGCCAGCACAAGATACAGGTCAGAAAGACCTTGCTGATAAAACAGGCTGCAATAAGGAAGCTGGCTGAATCCCACCCAAACCAAAATGGCAACAAGAGTAACCTCTGGCCCTCCTCACTGCTACACTCCCACCAGTGCCATGACAGTTTACAGATGCCACGGCAACATCAGGATGCCACCCTATATGGTCTAAAAAGGGGCGGCATAAATAATCTACACCCTGATTAGCATATCAAGAAATAACCACAAAAATGGGCAATCAGCAGCCCTCAGGGCTGCTTCGTCTAGGGGTAACCAATCTTTTGTTCCTTTACTTTCTTAATAAACTTGCTCTCACTTTATGAACTGGCACTGCATTCTTTCTTGCGTGAGATCCAAGAACCCTCTCTTGGGGTCTGAACTGGGAGCCCTTTCCTGTAACATCTTTCTGGTGACCATGGAAGGAACCATAGTGTGGAAACCCTTGACCCAAAGGGTAACTTTGGGTAAGTGGTGGGGTCTGGTAACATCTTTCTGGTGAATCATGGAAGGGATGATACTGAGGAGACCTCTCGATCCAAAAGAAGTAGACTGCACCACTGATTGGCGGACTTTGAATAAGTGGTGGGGTACCTGGGTAAAGGATGGGATTGGGTTAGAGGCCCAACTTGGGGGACTTAGAGTCTCTCCTAAAACACAGTGGGTTAGAGGGGCCTCTTAAGAAAAGGTAAGGACGCCTGACCAACCCTGGGTTAGAGGCCCCTCTCAGTAAGGTCCCTCTAGGTAAAGTCCCTTCTGGCTAAGAACAGGTTTGGCACTACGGGATGTTAACTGCTATTCTCTTTGGATTAATCTGCCTTGCACTCTTTGCTGATGGCTGTGAGTGACAGAATTAGGCACGTACAGGATTGTGGGACTTGGGGAGTTTTTTCCTCCCTAAACGGGGAAACTTGAGAGCTGATGGGACTGTGGAAAAGATCCCTTCATGACCGACAAGCAGCCACCGGAACTTTTCAGTGCGGCTGCAATGGATAGGTCTTTCTCTGACCTCCCTGAGCGCCTCGCGTTCCCCATGCTGCCTCAGGCAATGCTTTTCTCTCTCTGTGCAAACTGGTTGAATAAATTGTAAAAATAATTGTTTATCTCCTGTAAAGTTTTGATAAATGGAATAAAGGATTTGTGAGGCTAGTCTTCAGCTGTAGCCAACCAGGTCTGGTGTGATTTGCGCATCTTTCTGTATTGTTCTGTCATAAAGAGGAGTGCCTTGAGATAGAGCATGGACTTAGGATACCTGTAAGCTTGCTTTTCAAGACAGCTCAGCAAACCGGTCAGTTACAAACATTGCTGCAGGTCCCTGAAAAAACTGGATGAGGTTTCCTTCTTGTCTTCTATGTTCTTGGGAGCTTGACCTTGTAACCACACGGCCATGCTTTCTCTTTTCACAATGGTGGCCCAGGTTCAGGGTTCAATTCCTGGCTTGGAAAATAAGTTATCTCCTATGTATTTATATGTATTATGTGTGTGATGTTTATATATGAAAGAGCTTTAATTGGTTTAAAAATAAGTGCTTAAATATTTTGTCAGAAAAGTAAAAAGTGTAATACCTTTTAGTTCATATGACTTAAGTAATCTTTGGGAAATAAGGATTTTTAAAGATTATTGGTAAAATGAAAATATCTTCAAACAAGTAAACATGTGGTCTAAATTATGCAGGTCAGATATTAAGTTTGCTAAATGCTTTAAGGTCATAAACTGCTTCTTTGACTTTTAAAATTTATTCAGTTTCCTACTCTGGAGCATTAGATTCCAGATAAGGCCAGGGACATGTGGAGTTAGCCATGCCCCTAGCTATGCTGGAGTCAGCCTTTATCTGCACTTCTGCCTGGCATGTCCTAGGCTAACTTCCACACCTGGTACACAATTAGAATCCCCAACTTACCAAGGTTTTCACCAAAAGTAAGTCACTAAGAATTAACATTGTAACATGTAATTAAGACTGCTAAAAAAAGTTTTAAGTGCAAGATGTGTAAGAAAAGTGAAATGTGTCTTTTGTTAAAAGATTATAAGAAGACATGAGAATGTGAATTTTTCTTACCTAGATGAAAGGGTTAAGAGATTGTTTTAGGCCGGGCATGGTGGCTAACGCCTGTAATCCCAGCACTTTGGGAGGCTGAGGTGGGTGGATCACGAGGTCAGGAGATCAAGACCATCCTGGCTAACATGGTGAAACCCCGTCTCTACTAAAAATACAAAAAAAATTAGTCGGACGTGGTGGCGGGAGCCTGTAGTCCCAGCTACTTGCGAGGCTGAGGCAGAAGAAAGCCGTGAACCCAGGAGGCGGAGCTTGCAGTGAGCCAAGATCACGCCACTGCACTCCAGCCTGGGTGACAGAGCAAGACTCTATCTCAAAAAAAAAAAAAAAAGAAAAAGAAAAAGGATTATTTTAAATTAGAATCAAGCTGAAGCTTTAAGCAAGTTGTGGAAGGCTTGTGAAAAGTTAATCTTGTAAAAAAATTCTGTGTCTGAACAAATTGGCTAAAGTTAAAGCAGTATTATTCAGTTTTTCTGTAAACTGAACATTGGAATAAAAGCACAACAGGTTTTTTCTTAGAGCAAAAACCTCCCTATGATCTGCTCTTTAATAAAAATGTGTAAAGGTAAGTTATCAAAGGCTTATGAGAATCTTACCTTATGGCCAAACTGATTAACATTGAAGATATTTGTCTATAAGATTTCATTAAGAATTAATTGGGTTTGACATCAATGGTGCACTAATGCAACAGTGACATTTGGCTTATTTGGTACAAAAACCACTCAGGAAGCATTATCAAATGTGAACTGGTGTTTGGTTTTCTTTGGGCTATATTTATATAAATGTGTTATTGGTATATGTTTCAAAAATATGGGAAAATCCTATAATTCTAATGTGATTTAGTGTATGTTATTAATAATTATAATTGTTACATAAAATCATTGTATGCCAAGAAGGCAACCAAATTTCATGTTTTTGATTGTGGCTGCCCTAAAACATTTTGTTATCCACAGACAATTGTCTTGTTGTAATCCTTTTTAGAAGGTGGTTTACAACCAACTATAGAGCTCTAACAGGTAGTCTTAAATGCAGGTTTTTAATAACTTTGGAAATTGTGATATTAGAAGAGAGAAAAAACTTTCAGAACTCTCATAGAAAGCTGAAATGTTAATGAATATCAAGCAAAACAGGCGTTAACTAAATTAACCGAACCAATAAAAAACTGAAGTAATGTTTTTAACTTTACTTAAAATGTTGCTGATCCTTTGTTTTGTTTTTCAGAATCAAGGAAACTTTTCTTTTGAGCTATTTACAGCTTTTAGCAATTGAGTAAAATATACTCCTGAGTAAACTATACTCCTGTGAACAAAATTTGGAGCATATTTCTCTGATTTCTTCAGAATTTGGAAACTGTCAGTATTCTTAATTTATGGCAATATAGTTATTTGCATAAGCACAATAAAAATCTGATTTCTTTTGTAACAGGACACAATTAGAAAAACTGGTTATTTTACCAAGGCTTTAACTGGAATGGGATGCTTTGCATTAAGGAATCACACTTGACTTGTAAAGCCAATAAAAGCCCCTTGGGGAAACGCCTCATATTTTGTCTTCACAGTCCCTGTATGGGGTTCCTGACCTGTGGTAAGTAAAGAATATCACTTTCTAACAGGTCCAGGAGTCCCAAGTTATCTTGAGGCCTCAAGAGGAGAGGAATTTATTCAACTCATAAATATTTGAGGGTACAAACCCGTGGCAGGGCCTGGCTCTAAATAAGTCTTATCTGAGATTCCTTCTATGGAACAGAGTTTCCATCAAAGCCAATTTAAAAAGAGCTTATGTGAAAAACAATTATTCTTGCTGTACTTTATACAAATAATCAGGCCAAGTATAATGAAGCAAATCAGTCTTACCATGATTTGTCTTTAGTAAAAATGGAAAATGGGAAACTACAGAAATTAGTTTCAAGAACTATGGCACACTTCTTAAATTCTAATTTCATCAGTTGTTTTTAAGTTTGTTTCTGCAATTTAGGCTAACCCTGCTTATTCCTGTGAACCAACCAGTGATCTCTGCCTGCTGCTCAGAAGAAACAAGAGGGATGGATAATGTAAAAATCTGGATCAGTATTCTAATTCTGGGCACATTAGAATCAGCGAACAACCCCATGTCAGCCTGGTTCCACCAACTGCTCAGTTCATGGAAAGCCTTCTAATTCGGTTTACTTGTGATAGTTTTGCTTATTCTGTTATACTGCTGTTCTACCCTTTGTGTAGGAATGCAGGATAAGCTTACTGAATGTTTTCTTAAACAATAATCTTTCAGACATCACCTTTTGTCAGAACTCAAGTTATGAATGGCTTTCACCATTCCAAGGCTTTCTGGCTGAGCTCTTCTCTACCCTGAACAGAAGAGACCTTAACAGGCAAGGGTATCATTGACCCTATTCAGCCTGAAGAAGTTACAGAAGATGGTTCTTCATCCCTCTGCAACCCTTAGGATTAAAGGTTCTCTTACAAAAGGGATGGGGGAAATGTCAGAGGTGTGTGAACCAGAGCAACTCCATCTTGAATAGGAGCTGGGTAAAATGAGGCTGAGACCTACTGGCCTGCATTCCCAGACACTTAAGGCATTAAGTCACAGGATAAGATGAGGTCAGCACAGGATACAGGTCATAAAGACCTTGCTGATAAAATGGGTTGCAGTAAGGAAGTCAGCTAAAACCCACCAAACCCAAGATGGCCATGAGAGTGACCTCTGGTCGTCCTCACTACTACACTCCCACCAGCGCCATGACAGTTTACAAATGCCACGGCAACGTCAGGAAGTTACCCTATATGGTCTTAAAAGGGGAGGCATGAATCCACCCTTTGATTATTATATCACCAAGAAATAACCATAAAAATGGGCAACCAGCAGCCCTTGAGGCTGCTCTATGGAGTAGTCATTCTTTTATTCCTTCACTTTCTAAATAAACTTGCTTTCACTTTATGCTATGGATTCACCCTGAATTCTTTCTTGCATGAGATCCAAGAACCCTCTCTTGGGGTCTGGATGGTGACCCCTTTCCTGTAACACACCTATACTTAGAAGCTCGTTTTCAGACCTTTCTGGGCTGAACCAATGTGCACCTTCCATGCACTGACTGACGTCTCTGCCTCTAACTTCTGTCCCCCTAAAATGTATAAAATCAGGCTGTAACTCAGCAATCTTAGGCAGCTATTCTCAGGACCTCCCAGGGCTGTGTCACAGGTCATAGTCTTCACATTTGGCTCAGAATAAACCTCTTCAAATATTTCACAGAGCTTGGCTTTTTGTCAACACTGCCAGTAAAGTGTGCCAGCTCCCAAATTTGGGGAACGAGGACCTTTCCAACAGGTGGATATGAAAATGCAAACCACATGGTGACATCATGGCCACAGGCGTCGCAAAGCTCTCCTGCAAGAGAACTCGTCATATCTGACATGGTGACATAGTGGCATTGCAAAGCTCTCCAGCACGAGAACCCGTCGTGTCTCACATGGTGACACTGTGGCATCATAAAGCTCTCTGGTATGAGAACCCATCGTGTCTGACATGGTGACATCGTGGCCACAGGCATCACAAAGCTTTCTGGCATGAGAACCTGTCATGTCTCACATGGTGACACTGTGGCATCACAAAGCTCTCTGGCACGAGAACCCGTCGTGTCTCACATGGTGACATAGTGGCCAGGTGTCGCAAAGCTCTTCTGCACAAGAACTCGTTTGTGTCTGACATGGTGACATAGTGGCCAGGCATCGCAAAGCTCTCCAGCATGAGAACCCGTCGTGTCTCACATGGTGACACTGTGGCATCGCAAAGCTCTCCAGCATGAGAACCCGTTGTGTCTGACATGGGGACTTTGTGGCTACAAGCAACACAAAGTGCTCCTGCATGAGACCTGTCGTGTCTGACACCAAAGTCAAATGTGTTTATTTCTGTAAAGCTTGAACATACCCTTGACCTTGAACAACTTCTATGACCTGCTGGTGGAAAAACAGGTAGTTTCAGACCAAGCGCTGGACTAGACCACAAACCAAGGTCCCAAGTGATAAAAAAGGCAAAACATGAAAACCCCTCCAGAGATGCCCGAAGCTCAGTTACTTGGGAGACAAGGACAGCTGGGGCCTGCTCCAGAGGGCAGTGAGGCAGGAGTGACCGTGACTCCAACTCAGGCTGGCCACCACCAAGAATCTAGCTGCGGGCACATCAGAGGACTTCGGAGCCTGTTCCTTCTTGCTTAGAAAAGCTACAGGTCTAGGCAAAGGAGCCGTCCCCTCACACACACACAGTCTGAGGCGTCCTGTGAGGGGGACCCCGATGGAAATCTGCATGACCCTGGCTGACAGCCCACCCAGGCCCAACTGCTCTCTTGGGCTGGGACCCCCAGGCAGTGGCGCTGGGGACCCCTGGGCCCGTGGGGCCTGTGGGTGGCAGCCTCAGTGGGGAATGAGGCCCTCCGACGCTGGCAGGCACCACTGACGTGTCCTCTGGGTTTGTACTAGGAACCGCCCCACCGAAATCGCCAAGGGCCTGAGCACTCTCTCCCATTCCCATTCTCTCTGAAAGCAGGAAGAGTATCATCGACAAAACACACTTAAACCATGAAGAGTTTGTTTAAACCCAAGGAAGCTTCTAAACCAGAGCAAGATGAATTCAGGTGGGGGTTCTCCTGGGTTCAACTGATGATGGACACCAGCGTCTCAGCCTACCTATTGCGTCTGAGCGCTGTGCTGGGGCCCTCGGGCACCAGGGAGGCCCCATGGCTTCTCATCCCACTCGGCCACCTCCTGCTGTCTGCCTGCGGCAGTGTCCAGCCTGTTGGGGCCGGTCTCCTCCTCTGCAGACACAGCTAACGGCACAACTCACCCCACACAGTTGGCTGAGGGTCGCATAAGATGATAAATCCTGAGTGCTCAGCAAGGCGCTGGCAGGCGGTAGGTGCTCATCAAAGAAGCCACTAATTACCCCTCAGAGGCCCCTGGAGCCCCAAAGGGGTGGGATGTGGTGGTGGGGTGTCCTGCCCCTTTTCGAAACATGAAAATGAGCTTGAGAAGTGGTTTCCGGTGCTGGAAATTCAGTTTTTAAAACTATTCTGGACCATGCCCTTCAGACGCTCAGAAGTTCTCTGGGCTACTCGGAAAAATAAGAACTGGTCCTGGTTGGGTCAGCACCATCCTGAGACACACTGGGCCGTCCTGAGACACACTGGGTCACATCTGTTTGATGAACTGTGGTGACAAGAGCGTGGCCACAGGGGTCAGGGGGCACCAGAGTGACCCGACTCCCTGCTACTGATGACAAAGCCCTTTCCATGCCCTGAGCAGATGACAGGTTAAGAAGCAGGACCCAGACGCCAAGACGGCACTGCTCTGGGAACCTAACACTGGGAAGGGAAGCCAAGCCCACGGCCCTGCGGGGAGCAGGAGTGACCGGGGAAGGCGTGCACCGATGGCCCCGGTCTGCTGCAATCAGGCTGTGGCCAGCACCATGGGGACAGGCCACATGTGTGCAAGGACCTGCTGGGCAGGTTCTGCAGGAACAAACAGATCAAACATGTTACGAATAAAGTGATTTGTATATAACTGGCAGGGGGGTGGGGGTTGGAGACTGAATTGCCCACTCAAATCATTACTTTTTAAAAAAACATTTCCTCGACAGACATTTCCAGCTCCACAAAAGAAAGTAATCAAATAGATGTTCCTCTTTAAGTCTTAAACCATGACATTCAGATGATCTATGTGCAAATTAATAAGGTTATAACATAATTTGATCAGGTGACAAAGCCGAGGGAGAGCTGACAAAGAACCAGACTGGCACCACTGCCTTCTTAATGAAGTGGAGCTCTGGAAAAAATCTAGACAAATCACAGGTTGTCTGACCAGAAAACCCCTGACTATGAGCTGTCTACTACTTTAGAGTCAGGAGCTGAACCCTGAAAACTGAATGTGCGAAATTCTAATGATCAAAAAACCCACGGTGCGTCAGGCAGACATGATCACGTGCATTTCTTTTCCACGCTGCAAATCACCACAATCCCAGAGTAGCCCAGCCGGCCGGGCGCCTCCCTCCCGTCCGCCTGGGCGGTGAGGTCAATCAGCAGTTTAGGCGCAGAGGTGCGGGCTCAGAAGGCAGCAGCAATCTCCAGCGTGTTCTGGAATCAGAAGTTGAGGTCCACGTCTGATTAGTTCCCTTCGTTTCATTAGACTTGGCTGAATGTGTGCCGGCGCCACTACAGCTTTGATTTCAGACTTCCTATGACAGGTTTGTTCACAGAAAACTCTGGCCACCAGGACGCCCGCTCCAACACCTTGCTTTCCTGCAGGACAGCGCCCCAGAGGTTTTTGTAGAGCTGCAAACAACACGTACACAGCAAGTGAAGACAAAGAAATAAGAAGGAAAAGATTCCTAGACAGCTGAGTGTGCAAATGCAACTCCTCAAAGTTTTTGTTAAAAACACAGGAAATTCGGCCGGGCGCGGTGGCTCATGCCTGTAATCCCAGCATTTTGGGAGGCCGAGGTAGGCAGATCACCTGAGGTCAGGAGTTTGAGACCAGCCTGACCAACACAGAAACACCCCATCTCTACTAAAAAAAAATTCAAAATTAGCCAGGCGTGGTGGCACATGCGTGTAATCCCAGCTACTCAGGAGGCTGAGGCAGGAGAATCACTTGAACCTGGGAGGCGGAGGTTTCGATGAGCCAAGATTGCACCATTGCACTCCAGCTTGGGCAACAAGAGTGAAACTCAAAACAAACAAACAACAACAACAACAAAACGGAAATTCTCTCACTTTTTAGAGAAATTTTAAAATGATTTAAATTTATATGAACTTTTTTTTTTTAGTAGAAAACAATTAGGAAAATTCAATTATAAAGTACCATAAACACACTTATAATGAAAATCACCCCCTCGCCCTCGCCCTCTTCTTTGGAAATTATTGGCTGGGTGAGGTGGCTCGTGCCTGTAATCCCAGCACTCTGGGAGGCTGAGGAAGGCAGATCACTTGAGCTCATGAGCTAGAGACCAGCCTGGGCAACGTAGAGAAACCCCATCTTTAAAAAAAAAAAAAAATGCAAAAAATTAACTGGACATGGAGGAGTTCACCTGTAGTCCCAGCTACTTGGGAGGCTGAGGTGGGAGGATTGCTTGAGCCCAGGAGGTTGAGGCTACAATGGGCCGAGATCGTGCCACTGCACCCCAGCCTGGGTGACAGGGTGAGATCCTATCTCAAAAAAAAAAGAAAAGGAAATGATTGTGGGCGGTGGACACCCTGTTTCTTAGTAATTGCAGCCACCACAGGATTCTGCAAGGCTGCATCGATGGCCGCTCTGAAATCTGCTCTCACACCCCAGGCCGCTACAGGCCGCACAGGTGGCACATGGCCACCAGCAGCAGGACGCCCTCGCCTGGTGGCCCTTACTGGCTGACTCCGGGACCTGGGCCACCACACCCTGCTCCTCTTGTCCTGCCCCAGGCCAGCAGTCCCCTACGGGATGTGCAGACTTCACTGCTCTCAGCCTAAGCAGCCTCACTGGGAAGATGGGGAGAGACGCTCCTGTCTTGGAGGAAGGCTGTACAAACAAAGGGCGAAGCGCGGCTAAGCAGACACTTCACCGTGCAGGTGGGAAGGGGCAGCCCAGCCCATCTCCAGAGCCTGGGGAGGTGGTCTGTTTTGCATCCAGCTTATGTTGATCCTTTTATTCAGAAGAAACCCCTCTGCCTGTCCCCGCTAAATACACTTAGCAACCCCTCCTCCCCACTCTGCTACTCTGGGCTCCACAGACGCAGATCCAGGCTGCTGCTCCACAGGGCCTAGGTCCCAGCTTACGTTTCACAGTTTGGAGCAGCAGGTTTGGTTTAAGGATGGTCTCAACTCCCCTACGGCTCTGTTTGTTCATTTACAGTGAATTTCTTACCCGGCAGCTCCTGGTTAATACACCAGTTCCTTGCAACTGGGAGAAATGTACTTTCTTTTTTTTTCTCTGAGATGAGGTCTCTGTTGCCCAGGCTGGAGTGCAGTGGCACGATCACTGCTCACCACAGCCTGGACCTCCCCAAGCTCAGGAGATCCTCTCACCTCAGCTTTTGTAATTTTTATGGATGGGGTTTTGCTATGTTGCCTAGGCTGGTCTCAAACTCCTGCGCTCAAGGGATCTGCCCGCCTCAGCCTTCCAAAGAGCTAGGATTACAGGTGTGAACCACCACGCTCAACCAGGAATGCACGTTTTATAAACCATCCTGCCAGCAACACCTCCAGTCGGCTCTGGTTTTATCTGTGGAACCGAGCCAGAGGGGCCCCTCCATCATGGGCACGGTCTCTCCTCTCCTCGGTTGTTCCCTGCCTCTGCAGAGCCAGGCGCAGCGAATGGACACTCAACGCTGCTCCTGTACGGGGCAGACAGACCTGTGTGCTCGGGGGTCCTCCATGGCGGGTCTGGCTCCACTGTCTCTTCGAATGCCTGTCTACCTGGTGAGCCCCCTACCTCCTGGTGAGACTGCCTCTCCCAGGGAGGTGGGTAGGGCAAGTCCCCCTCCTACGTGCTCCCCCAGGATCCAAGGCTCCCCCCAAGTCTTCTCTCCCTACAGCAGGGCACAGTTTCTTCAAATCCTGGCTCCGCCACTCCCTGGCCGGGAAACCCACTGGGCTTCTCTGGATCTCAGTTCTCAGCAGCAGTGATCATCTGGGCTGTACGGGCTCAGGGGATGGTCAGTGGTCAGCCCCCCGATGCGGGACAGCAGGCCCTCCACAGAGATGACCATCCCTGCCTTTCCTACTACTGGGAACTCTCACCTCCTGCCCTGCTCACCCGGCCCCTGGCACTACCTGCCTCTTGGCACACCTAGCCCAACCCAGGTGTAGCCTGGGCCATGCTGAGGCCAGGCACTGGGCGCTCCCTGGCTAAGCCAGTAAGGACTCATGCACGGACTTCAGCATTCCCTGAGGACTGAGGGTGGGGTCCTGCCCACTAAGGCTGAATCTCCATTTGAGCAGAGACCCAGGTGCTGGCAGATGCCTCAGCAGAAAGAACTCAGTCGTGGGGACAGGGGGCAGGAATGGGGTTGACCCCTCTGTGGCTCACAGCCAGGAGACCTCAGGGCACGGGACATGAGCACTGACATGCCGAGTCCCTCTAGCAGAAGATGGACACAGCCCTATAAGCAGTGGGGTGCTGCAGGGCACCCAGAGGACCTGTGAGTGTCACCCCTCGAGGGCATCATCAGGTGGGAGGGAGACACAGGGTCAGTGATGAGGTTAGCAAGGGCCACAGTGCCTGGGGCACTGCCTCAGCTGGACGCCAGGGAAGGCCTCTCCAAGGCAGCGACAGTCAGCTTATACTGAAAGAATGCGAGGCACTCCAGGCAGCCAGAGCAGTAGGCACAAGGCCCTGGGGTGGGCAAGGGCCTGGCATGACAGATGGAGAGGCCAGTAAGGCTGGATCTGGTGGGCAGGAGGGGAGCGTGGGGTGAAGGGCCCTGGAGGGATGCAGTGGCTGCCTGGGGCTGGGGTGTGGCAGGGTCAAGGAGGCTGGTGGAGGCTCCCTCGGGGAGCAGCCCGACTCCATCTACTTTGAAGAAATCATTATGGAACATGGGCGGCTGGGGAGCCACAGGGAGGCAGCTGGGGGAAAGTGGGACAGGGGAAAGTAACCCCAGTGACAGCCATGGATGGTCAGAGGGGACAGAGGGGCCTGGGGATTCCAGGACAGGGATGGGGGAGAGGCCTGCAGGGCCAGGAGCCTGCATGGTCAGATGGGGGTAAGACCTGGGACGGGGGAGGCCAGTGGGGAGTGGGAAGAGGGCAGAGGCCACAGTGTGTGGACCTCCAACCTCTGCCTGTACAGGCGGGCAGTGCCACCACCCCATCTCGAGAGGAAAAGGCAGGCAGGGGATGGGCAAATCCCCTGCAACCACAGAGCCAGCATGGCGAAACACCAGAATGAGGCTGTCCCGACTTGTCCTGGGCCCTCCCCACAGAAGCTCCCCCAAGTGTGACCACTTTCCAGAAGCCACCAGACCCCCGACCCACAGGAGCATCTCAGCTCTGCAGAAATGCCCATCGGCCCTTGGGGCGCCCCTGCGAGGCCCTGTCCTCCCTTTACCTCGCCATCGGCTCTGCCAATCGGTGAGTCCAGAACAAAGTCAGGAGGAGCGATCACGTCTACCAGGGCAACTGCGTCGTCTTTCAGCTGTTGGAAAACAAAGCCCAGACACTTGGCACCTCCCGGGAATTTCCATGGTGACCAAAGGGTAACAGCCCTGTCCATGTTTGCTAGGACCCACTAGCAACGGGTAACCTGAGCGGCACGTGCGGCTCTGCTGCCAATGCATGATCTCTTCACTGGCCTGGATTCGAGTCCCTTGCTGTGCGCTGGAATGTGTCCACCATCCTGCTTTTCACTCAGGACTTCCAGGGCTTGTTTATTCCCAACAAGGTAGAAAAGGCCCTTAAAAGTGACGACCCTGCAGCTCGTGAATTAGCAGCTGCCTCCGGAGGCTCATTTCTAAGCCTTGGCTTATGTGGGCAACTGCTGTTCCAGTAAAGGAAAATATGTCCAGAAAACATGTAATAGAGAAGGCATTTATGAGCACTTGGAAAAGCCATAAGCATACGAAGCCTCCTCGGTTGGTAGTGGTTTTATTACTCTCCTATTCCACTGAACAAATTATTCTTCAGTATGACACATGAAATTTATATGAGTGGATTCTCAAGAACTTTCTTAAAATGCAAAAAAAAGGCCGGGCGCGGTGGCTCAAGCTTGTAATCCCAGTACTTTAGGAGGCCGAGGTGGGCGGATCACGAGGTCAGGAGATTGAAACCATCCTGGCTAACACGGTGAAACCCCGTCTCTACTAAAAAAATGCAAAAAATTAGCCGGGTGTGGTGGCGGGCGCCTGTAGTCCCAGCTACTCGGGAGGCTGCGGTAGGAGAATGGCATGAACCCGGGAGGCGGAGCTTGCAGTGAACTGAGATCGTGCCACTGCACTCCAGCCTGGGGGACAGAGCAAGACTCCGTCTCAAAAAAAAAAAAAAAAATTCTCCTTAAAATATTATGAAATGCCGTGGCTACACTGCATGGAACCCAGGAATGGGAGACACCGTTAATGATATGGATCAAAGGCAATCGGTCAGCACAGAGTAATAAAGGTCACAATGGAGAAACTGAGTGCGCCTCTGCGTTTCAATGCCGTGCTCTGCAGGGTGTGGCCACCTGGTCCTGGTCCACGTGCCTCGGCATGAAGGCCGCAGACAAACGCCACTGCCCCCTGAGAGAAGCACTTGGCAGAGCACAGGTGCTGAGCCCAACAAACGTGTTTCGTAAGGGTCCAGCTAGGAGATGTTACCAGCTTTGTGGGCCACGGTCTCTGGCAACTGCCTGCTCTGCCGTGGTAGCACAAAGACACCCGCAGACGACACTCAGGTGAACAGCAGGATTGGGCTGAATTTGATGGCCCTGGCCTAGCAGATGGCTGGCACCCTCTCCACCTGGCTGACCGTGGCCTCCCCAAGAGAGTGGTGTGGACAGGCACACACAGAGTGGCACACAACAGTCAGCCAGCCTTGGCCATAGCCTCACTGGGAAATCAGATGTGGCTTTTTTTCTATTTTTTTGAGACAGGATCTGGCTCTGTTGCCCAGGCTGGAGTGTGATGGTGCAATTACGGCTCACTGCAGCCTCAAACACGTGGGCTTAAGCCACCCTACCTCAGCCTCTTGAGTAGCTGGGACTACAGGCATGTGCCACCAGGCCTGGCTAATTTTTTAAAATTATTTTTTGTAGGCCGGGCGTGGTGGCTCATGCCTGTAATCCCAGCACTTTAGGAGGCCGAGGCGGGTGGATCAAAAGGTCAGGAGATCAAGACCATCCTGGCTAACACGGTGAAACCCCGTCTCTACTAAAAATACAAAAAAATTAGCTGGGCGTGGTGGCGGCGCCTGTAGTCCCAGCTGTTGGGGAGGCTGAGGCAGGAAAATGGCGTGAACTCGGCAGGTGGAGCTTGCAGTGAGTCGAGATTGCGCCACTGCACTCCAGCCTGGGTGACAGAGTGACACTCTGTCTCAAAAAAAAAAAAGAAAAAAAAATTATTTTTTGTAGAGATGAGGTGTCACTACGTTGCTCAGGCTGGTCTCGAACTCCTGGCCTCAAGTGATCCTCCTGCCTTGGCCTCCCAAAGTGCTGGGATTACAGGCGTGAGTCACCGCACCCAGGCACTTTTTATAAACACCACCTCCCGCTACGCCCCCCTCTGCAAGGTTACCCCTGTGCTTTCTTGGCTCACCTGCATACTCCGAAGGCCTCCACAGGGTCAACACGGCCCCAAGCGGGTAAAATTTGGCTCTTGGAGGAGCCAAGGAAAACCCCTCCCTGTGGCTGGTTCGATGTTAAGAGGAGTAAATGTGGCCACAAACGTGTACCACAATTAGACACACCCGTCTCCAGAACGGCAGGCTCAGGGAAGGGGTTTATACAGTGAATCCCGAGAGAGGCTCACAGCCAGTCACAGGGACATTCCACTGGTCCCAGATCAAGTGTGAAAGCAGCGACAGGGGAGATGAAAGGCCACGTCTCCAGTCACCAGAGATGCTGCGCTAAAATGCAGCAGTACGCGGTCTGGTTCCTACCAGCAAAAGTGGAGTGACGTCTCCGTGGACACAGTGGTCCTGCCCGCCGCGGCAGCACCAGCACCAGCACAAGTGGCTCCTCAAATTCAGTGCGATGAAAGGAAATCTGAGACCCTCACTCACACAGCCGCCTCCCCCCTACCCAGCGTCTACCGCGCTAACCAGCACAGCAAGGGGGCTTCTGTCCCTGGATGGAAGACAGCTGCCAGATCAGAACGTGGGGTTGGGGCCCTCTGATTTCCTGGGTGACACAGGTAATAGAATATAGTAAACAAGGACACCGCCAGGACACAAATTGGAGGCTGAGTCCCCTAAACGCTCAGAGAATTCTCAAAGTAGCTGCAAACGGTGTGTGAGAGGGTCTGGGTGTGTGCAGATCTGGAGACAGCCCGACAGGTTACTTTTGCAGAAATTTCTGATGTGGGCATATTTTCTTGTAATCCTCCAGTTTTTACTAAACCCTGAACAAACATGAATGTTTGGGTTGCAAAGGCAGTGCATGCCGGCTCTTGGTGACGCTAAGGGGGTGCATTTCGGTCTGGGTGACGCTAAGGGGGTGCGTGTTAGCTCTGGGTGACGCTAAGGGGGTGCATGTCGATCTGGGTGACGCTAAGGGGGTGCGTGTCAGCTCTGGGTGACACTAAGGCAGTGCGTGTCAGCTCTGGGTGACGCTAAGGCAGTGTGTGTCGGCTCTGGGTGATGCTAAGGTGCATGTCGGCTCTAGGTGACACTAAGGTGGTGCGTGTCAGCTCTGGGTGATGCTAAGGCAGTGTGTGTCGGCTCTGGGTGACACTAAGGAAGTGCGTGTCAGCTCTGGGTGATGCTAAGGCGGTGGATGTCAGCTCTGGGTGACGCTAAGGGGGTGCGTGTTGGCTCTGGGTGACACTAAGGCAGTGCGTGTCAGTCTGGGTGACGCTAAGGTGGTGCGTGTCGGCTCTGGGTGACGCTAAGGGGGTGTGTGTCAGCTCTGGGTGACACTAAGGCAGTGCGTGTCAGTCTGGGTGATGCTAAGGTGGTGCGTGGTGTTGGCTCTGGGTGACGCTAAGAGGGTGCTTGTCGGCTCTGGGTGACACTAAGGGGGTGCGTGTCAGCTCTGGGTGACACTAAGGCGGTGCGTGTTGGCTCTGGGTGACGCTAAGGCAGTGTGTGTCGGCTCTGGGTGACGCTAAGATGCATGTCGGCTGTGGGTGACACTAAGGGAGTGAGTGTCAGCTCTGGGTGATGCTAAGGCAGTGGGTGTCGGCTCTGGGTGACGCTAAGAGGGTGCGTGTCAGCTCTGGGTGACACTAAGAGGGTGCATGTCGGCTCTGGGTGACGCTAAGGGGGTGGGTGTCGGCTCTGGGTGTCGCTAAGGGAGTGGGTGTCGGCTCTGGGTGACGCTAAGGGGGTGCTTGTCAGCTGTGGGTGATGCTAAGGTGGTGCGTGTTGGTCTGGGTGACACTAAGGCAGTGCGTGTCAGTCTGGGTGACGCTAAGGTGGTGCATGTCAGCTCTGGGTGATGCTAAGAGGGTGTGTGTCGGCTCTGGGTGACGCTAAGGGGGTGCGTGTCAGCTCTGGGTGATGCTAAGGGGGTGGGTGTCAGCTCTGGGTGATGCTAAGGCGGTGCGTGTCGGTCTGGGTGACGCTAAGGCGGTGCGTGTCGGTCTGGGTGATGCTAAGGCGGTGCGTGTCGGTCTGGGTGATGCTAAGGTGGTGCGTGTCGGTCTGGGTGACACTAAGGCGGTGCGTGTTGGCTCTGGGTGATGCTAAGGTGGTGCGCGTCAGCTCCTCTGGGTGACACTAAGGTGGTGCGTGTCAGTCTGGGTGACGCTAAGGGGGTGTGTGTCAGCTCTGGGTGACAATAAGGCAGTGCGTGTCAGCTCTGGGTGATGCTAAGGCGGTGCACGTCGGCTCCTCTGGGTGACACTAAGGTGGTACGTGTTGGTCTGGGTGATGCTAAGGGGGTGCGTGTCGGCTCTGGGTGACACTAAAGCAGTGTGTGTCGGCTCTGGGTGACGCTAAGGGGGTGCGTGTCGGCTCTGGACGGTTGTGTAACATGGATGTAGAGAACACGGCAGCACCCACAGCTCACCTGGGAACACAGGGCCAGGACGGCGCTCTCCAACACTTCTCCTGCCTGCTCACCAGAGAAGTATCCACCTGCAAGCATAGCCTCGGTCATGTAGGGGCTGGGTCCTCAGTCCAAAACCAACCCCAATACCAACATGCCCTCAGTGCACTTTCCAAATTGGCCACATAGGAGGCCTGTTTTGGGTGAACACATCAGTGTCATTGCTGTCCCCAGCCCAGCTGTGACCCGAGGAACGTGCTGGCTCAGGGGCCGAGTTCTGACACCCTTTTCCCACTCAGGCATTGATGGTCTCTGGCCTGGGGCAACGAGGGAGGCAAGGTCCCAGGCTCAGAGGTGACGGGTGGCCACTGGGCTCACACCTGCTGGGGCTCAGGGAGGCTGGGTGGGTTCCTCCCTCGGGAGGAAGCAAGGAAGGGGCTCCTGGGCAGAGCGAAGCAGGGGTGCATGGCAGGGGGCGCAGGGGCGAGGGGGTACCTGGGACCACCCAGGGGAGTGGGGAGGGGGGTGATGGGCGCCTGCAGGGACTCAGAGGCTGCAGGGGGACTTGGCTCTTGGTGTCGCCTCCAGCCGCTGTGGTTTCTGGTGGGGCCCTAAGAGGTCCAAGGCCGTGGCCTTGTGCGTTTGGGAGCGCATCTGTGGCGGGATCTGCATTTGCTATGATTTTTGCTGGCGAGAACTGTGTCGTATCACTTAGGGTTTTTCTCAGGTAGCAGTGGGGCTCCTGCCCTGTGCCCGCCCTCTCTGGCAGACACTCGTGTCCCTTCCTTGGTGCACCTGGGCATGGTCAAGGCCTCCACGGGGTCAGCACCACCTTCCAGGGGGTAAACGCTGGCTCTTGGGGTGGGGAGGATCTTATTCTTCACAAGCCCAGAGATGCAGGACATGAATGGATACGTGGTATATCCTAGTACCAAAGATGCATGGGTGCCAGCCATTGGGAAGAACCACCTAAAAAGACTTGCTGGGGGCAACAACCAACAAAAGGTTGACAAACTTTGGTTTACCCCATTCCCACCAATCCTCCAGGAATCAGCCCCAGCACCCCGTCCTCCAGGAAGTCTTCCAGGGTTCCCAAATCTAGACACTCCTGGCTCGTGTCTCTCTGTGCCTTATGGGACCTAGGGGGTGGGCTTCTGCTCTCTGCAGAGCCCGGCAGGCTGCCTGGCACGAGGGGGCCTTCTGGAAGTGCTCTCTGAACCGAACCCCAAGTGAAAGGAAAATTGGGTCTCTTGGCACCACCCTGACACTGTTCTGCCCCATATGCCTCTCATTATGGAAGTGGGCTCCTCATCTGTCCACAGCGCCCTCCGCCATGCTCAGTAAGTCCTGTGGAAGGAGGACAATGGTGCAGGAAGCAGCTTCCTAGATACAACAGCGGGGCCCTGACTCTGGGGAGGACGCAAGCCCGCAGTCAGAAGCCTCACCTCGGTAGAGCAGGGCCGCGTGGCGGCTCAGGGACCACAGGGCGTACAGAGCACTGAGCCGCCCCAGCACGGCCCGCAGCGAGGGCGGCACACAGGGCTGGTGCACGTGCTCGTGGAACCTCTGCACCACGGTGAGCTCCAGGAAGGCCAGCGCCAAGGGACGGCCGTGGGACACCTGGAACACAGGACGGCATCATAAGGACCATGAAAGTCCCAGCCCCGCCCAGATTCCCGGTGGAGGAAGTTCTCAGGAAACACGAACGCGGGTCTGCACTCCCGTGCAAGTCCTAGGACAGTAACATGAGGTGAGGCAGCACACAGACGCCGTGCAGCATAAGACGTTTCTAGAACACAATGGAAAAGGCCTATGTGAAGATGGAGCTGGGAGTGCTCTGGCTCCACTGACGCCCTCCAAGGCCTCAATCTCAGCTCAGCTCCCATCTGGGACTGGGAGAGGCACGGTCATTGCACACCGGGCCTGGGGCAGGCTTCGGGATGCTCTGCGGCTACAGTGCGGGCGCCCACCAGGAGGCCCCTGAGGGCCCAGGACCTGGCTTCTTCCACACAGGAAGACAGAGGAGCTGGAGAAGGGGCTTGTCAAGCTCCTCCCTGAGCTCAGAATTGACTTCGCTTCTCCAAAGGAACTGCCACCCCCTCCTCCAAAGCCTCCAGAGCAGGCTTCTCTCCTTTCTCTCCATGCCGTACGTCCCCCGCAGGCTCTGCTGCTCCCATCTTTATGTCCATGAGTGCCCAATGTTTAGCTCCCACTTATACGTGCGAACATGCAGCATTTGGTTTTCCGTTGCTGCGTTAGTTTGCTGAGGATAACGGCTTGTAGCTGCATCCATGTTGCTGCAAAAGCCATGACTGTTGGTAGTGATGGCTGCACGGTATCCCGTGGTGTCTATGTACCCCATTTTCTTTATCCAGTCCACCGCTGTGGGGCACCCGGGTTGATTCTACAGTTTTGCTATTGTGAATAGTGCTGCGATGGACGTACAGGTACATGTGTCCGGCTGGCAGGATGATTGCTTTTCTTTGGGGTATGTACCCAGTAATGGGATCGCTGGGTCGAGGGGAAGGGCAACTCTTAGCTCTGAAAAATCGCCAAGCTGCCCTCCACAGTGGCTGAACTAATCTGTGTTCCCACCAACCATGTATCCATGTCACTCTTCTCCACAGCCTTGCCAGCATCTGCTATAATATCAAAAACATTTGCTGATAATCATCAACTTCACTTATTAGCCTTTCTTTCCCTGTCTCCCATTTATCATCTCACCAGATATTTTAAATTAGGAAAACAACACACGCATTGCTTGACTTGTTAGGATGAGCAGGTGCCATTTTTAAAATTAAAAAAAAATCCAGCCAAATGATGAAATACAGGGTATGGGGGACTGACTGCTGCAGGAGGACCCGGCTGCATGCCTGGCCTATGCTGCTGCCCCAAATCTTCCCAGAACACAGCAGGGCGAAGCACACGGCAGCAGGGTCTCCAGTGACATAGCCAGTGTCCTCCAGGGCCCTGTTGGGATCAGGAGCCTCGGGAAAACAGAAACCGGGAGAAGCTGCTTTCCCGCTCTGCTTCGTGCCAGCCTGACTGGTCCTGTCCCAAGACCCCCGCTGGGTCCTGCACACTCATGGGTGGGCCGTCCCATTGGTGCCACGAAGGCCTGTCCTGCTCCCTGCTGTCTGAGCATGGAGTGTGCCAGCCCGGGGCCTTGGGGCTTCCTGCCCTCTCCTGATCTCACACGTGCCATAGCTCTGGGCCTTGGTTTTGGCGGGATCTGGACTTGCACTGGGGCCGTGGGGACTGCACGACAGACCCCAGCTAGGACTAGCACCCAGAATTCCCAGAGCCCTGCCAAGTGAGGTGGGGCAGCCCTCAGGCTCCCACCCGAGGCCTCTGGCAGGAGGCTGATAATACAGGCCTGTGGGGGAGCTGCCAGGCGTGGTGCTGCAGCTCCAGGCCTCACCGCCTCCTCCTTTAACCTTCCATGAAACAAGCGGGCGACGGCACCTGCACCCCCGCAAGCTACTCCTGCGTCCACAAGAACATGGCAATTCCATTGAATCCGCCCACACCCCAAAACGTGCTCCCACACCACAAGGGCCTCTCCTCTCGCCATGGGTCCTCTGCGAACCCCAATCCCAGCCAATCCCAGCAGGGCCCGGGCACAGAGAGGTGGTCCTCAGAACCAAATCTGAGTCTGAGCCCTGTGCCCTGCACCACTCTCCCCGTCACCTGCAGTCGCCCCGCCGCTTCAGTGTGTTTTGCCATGAAAGTGACAGAGTGTGATACAGCGATGGCACAGGCCAGACAGGCCACGGGGGCCAGAAAGACAGCCCCCTCTGGAACCTTGCTGCTGTCAAATAATGCATCCCGAGTGCCAGTGAGTTTTGAAACACAGAGTCACTCGGCTCTGCAGCTGTGCAAGAGAGCAAAAGGCATCATACAAGCCTCAGTGTTGTCTCCCGTGTGGTGCTGCTGGGGTCAGGGCAGCCCTCTCACAGGAAGCGCCTGCGATGGCAGCTCTATTGTGCTCGACGGCATCTCGGTTCCCAGGATTTGCCTGCATGACACTGCGCTGTTGTTCCAGGAAAGGTCCACATAAGGCCAGCAGTCACCGGGGGGACACAGGCTCCGAGGATGGGCTCCCTAAACAGTGTCTGCCAATGGCAACCAGCAGAGCTGACCACAACATTAACCAACGCGGGCTGGGGCCCAGGAAGCATCCTACGTGGTATGAACTCCGGAGACCCGGGGGGACAGTAATGTCTCAGGTGCAGTCCCTCCCCATGGCCAAAGTGTCCCCATAGCTATGGTTAGGGCTGGCGCACTCCAGCCAAGAGTGCTCACGGCACCCACAGACACATCTGGGAGTCCCACTGCCCCCACCAGCTGCCCCCAGACAGGGCAGGGGCTGGACTGTGCTCTACGGGGATCTTCTGGACCACCTCAGCTGCCCCTCCAGAGCTGCCAAACTGTCCCCAGCTAGGACTGGGACAGGCACTTCTCAGGCTCCATGCAGCTATGGTCAGCTGTCCCTTTACAGCAGTAAACCTGGACACCCCAGGAAATCTTCAGCACAGAGAGAGGGGAGGGTCCCAGTCCGGTACACTCTGATTTCTGAAGTACACTTTAAGAGGCAATGGATATAGTTCAGGCAAAAAACCAAACCCCAAATGGTCCAAATTCAGAGAGCAGCCACGCAGCCTGGGGAAAGGGCTGGGCTCTGTGACAGCTGGCTCAGGTGCAATCCTGGCCCCGGCACAGGCGAGCTGGGGGACCTTGGGCATTTCTCTTGGCCTCAACTTCCTTCACTCCCAAAGTAGACAACATGAAACGACCCAGATACAGAATCCAGCATGTGGCTCAGGGAGAACAAATGTCCTTGTCCTTGTCCGCCTTCTGATGTGCAAATTCCTGAAGGGAACCTGGAGCCCTTGTGACAGGGGTCGATCCCAGGGTGGAGGCAGGCTGCGGGGACGCCACCACCCACCTTTTTACTCCCAGACTGGAGGCAGGCTGCGGGGATGCCACCACCCACCTTTTTAGTCCCAGGCTGGAGGCAGGCTGTGGGGACGCCACCACCCACCTTTTTACTCCCAGACTGGAGGCAGGCTGCGGGGACGCCACCACCTATCTTTTTAGTCCCAGGTTGGAGGCAGGCTATGGGGACACCACCGCCCATCTTTTTAGTCCCAGGCTTGAGGCAGGGTGCGGGGACGCCACCACCAACGTTTTTAGTCCCAGACTCGAGGCAGGGTGCGGGGACGCCACCACCCATCTTTTATATCTGCTGGCTGTTGAACACGTGAAGGTGTCACTCAGCCGAAAAATGAGAGAAATGCATTGTTAAAGACCTTTCTGCGCATGCCTGGCTTACGGTGGGTAAATGGTAGATAGCGGTTATTGGCAAGAGCCAGAAAATGTTTAAAGGTTAATCAATTTTCCCCATCAGGTCAAAGAGGAAGCACACTTCTAACAAAAATGGCCAGTAACCTTCTCAAAGGACACAGCCGCCACCCTCTCCACGAACGGCGCTGCTGCCCGAGCCCAGCCTGATGCCTGCGAAGGATGGCTTTGACCTGCAGCTCCTGGCCCTGCCTCCAGGTCAGCGGCTGCTAGGGCTGGTTTCCGACCAGGCGGGCATCTATCTGAAGGAGTTCCTTCCTTCCTGGGGATGTTCTCTGTCAGCGACACGCCACGTGGGCTTCCCCAGTCTGCTGTGTGGCTTCTGACTTTGTTCAGAGCATCTTTTGCAATGCAGAAATGCTGAACCTTTATGCAGCCAAATCCGATGGTTTTATTTTTTAACAGCTTCCGGCTTCCATCTTCCTGAAAAGGCTGGTCTAGGCTGAGGCTCTCTTCTCATGCCGTATTGCAGGGGAAGGGGCTGCATCTCCCATGGGCCCCTTAGCATCCAGCCCAGGCCCCAAGGGCTCTCAGCTGTCACAAACGTCCCCTGCTCTTGAAAGCTCTGCGACCCAGAGCAGGTCTGGAGCACGAAGCTCCACCCTGGCAACTGCTTTCCCTCCAAGGCCTTGTGGCTGGTGTCTGTGGGTGTCTGTCAGCTCGGCCCAGGGTCACCGTCTCAGCTGGACTCAGAACCCAGGACCCCTCCTGGCCTCTGCCGCAGGACTCCCTGAAATTCTGTTACCAAGTTCTTGAAGGAAAAGCTGAAGGTAAGTGGTTTCTCAGCAGCTGAGTCACGCACTCGGGGTGTTGTGGGGTCACACATGCCGCGGCCCCAGAATAGGCCGGGGCTGGAAGGGGGTGCTAAGGATCTACCAGGCAGTTCTAAGAGACACAGGTGTTGTTAGGAATGGGGTCCTTTTGTGCCCTCCGTTTCTGGGGGCCTTGTTTCATAACTCATTGGAGAATCTCCATTCCATTAAAAAAAATTCTTTTTTTCTTTTCTGAGACAGGGTCTTGCTCTGTTGCCCACGCTGGAGTGCAGTGATGTGATCGCGGCCCACTGCAGCCTCAACCTCCTGGGCTCAAGCGATCTTCCTGCCTCAGCCTGTCTAACGTGCTGGCATTACAGACGTGAGCCAGTGCAGCAGCCTATTCCACCCTAACACGAGGATGTGGCCTGCAGAGGAGCGAGCGGTGGAAGCTGACAGGCATCCACTGGTTTCTGAATGACCCAACCTGCCGTGTTATCAGCCAGGGTGGGTACAGAAGGCAGCCTGTTCTGGAAGGGTCACTTCAAGTCTCCTATTTTTGGTCACCATGGGCCTAAACTACAAGTTTTACTGACCCTGGCCACCTGCTGACTTCATTTCTTTTCAGCTATAAATTCAATCTGGTTTTCTTTTTTTCTTTTTTTTTGAGATGGAATCTTGCTCTGTCACCCAGGCTAGAGTGCAGTGGTGTGATCTCAGCTCACTGCAACCTCTGCCTCCCATGTTCAAGCAGTTCTTCCTGCCTTAGCCTCCCAAGTAGCTGGGACTACAGGTGCCTACCATCATGCCTGGTGAATTTTTTGTATTCTTAGTAGACACCGGGTTTCACTGTATTAGCCAGGATGGTCTTGATCTCCTGACCTTGTGATCCACCTGTCTTGGCCTCCAAAAATGCTGGGATTATAGGCATGAGCCACTGCGCCCGGTCCAATCTGGGTCTCTTTGAGCTCGGCAGGAGCCCATCCTTCCCGCCTTCTCTCCTCATCCCAGGGCAGGTGTGTGCAGCAGGTTCTAGAGGTGCTGGCCTGAGGGGCGCGGCTGCCCCCCAGCAGCAGGCTGTGCAGTGCCAGGCCTTCCCAGAGACAGGCAGATGTGGACCTGGGTCCCCACAGCGGCTTCATTATTGAAGCTGACCCATAACTTCATGAACTGACACTAGGGAGAAGGGGCGACAGCGGCTCTCTCCGTATCCATGGCCTCCCTGCACGACACTCATGGCCTGAGTCTCCCCATAGCTATGGTTAGGGCTGGCGCACTCCACCAAGAGTGCTCACGGCACCCACAGACACATCCGGGAGCCCCACTGCCCCCAATAGCTGCCCCCTAGACAGGGGAGGGGCTGGGCTCTGCTCTAGGGCAGACAGCCGGGACAGGGCTGGAATCACACGGAACCAGGTTCCTGGCATGACAAGGCGTTTTATAACAGGCTGTTTTTCCCCTGTGGCTTCCCAGAACACAAAAGACAGCCCTGTCCAGGCGTGAGAACCAAAGCACTTTCCAAGGCCAATGACGACCCACTCACCATTGCCACCCCAGCCCCTCGGGAAGGCAAGAGCAACTTGTGGAAAACCAAGCAGGGCGCTGGCGTCACTCCCATGAGTCAGGAGGGAGCACCCTGAGTGTCCGCAGTGGTGTCCCTGCCCGTCTGTGCATCCAAGGCTCTCACAACCCAGCGCTTCACTGCTCTGGTTTACGGGCTGGGAACCGTCAGGCACGGTAAATGTAACATCCATGACCTCCCCAGCCCAGCAAGACAGGTGCCGCCATCCCTGTGTTACAGAGGAGCTGAGCAAGCAGCAAAGTCATCAAGTCATCTGCCCAGGGTCACGGGAGCTCAGGGTCTGGGGCCTGAACTGCCAGGGACACAACGACTGGGGAATTAAGAGCAAATAATACAAAAGGGAATTTTGAAAACAAATACCTACCTGGCAGTTATTCCTTGCTTCAAAGTCACTGCTTCTTGATCTTTTCTCTTGGTTTAATTTTTGATAAGTCTCTCGGAGCAGGTAGCAAACCAGCCACTTGTATGCTGCCAGGGCGACTTTGGAACGAGAAACAGGAGGAGAAAAAGTAACAATAGAGAAACTAGCATTTGTCACGACTCACCCCCAGGGACAAGGCACTGCCAGCATCCTGCAGGTACGGTGTCATCTTCGTGACGAGCAGGCGTATGGGGTGGGTCTGATTTTATAGGTAGGGAAACTGAGTCACAGGGACGGCATCTGCCCAGGGCCCCTCTGGCTGGAGGCACTTCCTGGCTCAGGCTGGGGCTGTCCTGTGTTCTACACTGTTCCAGCAGCCTGGAGGCCACAGGGGCGCGGTTCCGCCACTAGAGCGGACCCTCGAGTGCGACAGCTGCACGTTCTCGCACGCACCAGGCTCGGTCTGTGTGAAGCATGGTGCTGTCCCTGCAGCATCAGCCAGGACTGCATGGGCAGCAGGACAACTGCCCGGCGGTGGTGCCCAGTGGCGAGAGGAAGGGGTGCTTCCGTTCACCTCCCCCTGCCTGGCCCTTGGACCTCACTGCCTGCTGGAGCTGTGGAACTGGGGACTGACACGGTGGGGGAGGGGGTACCTGAGGCCTCGTACCCTGGGGGGCCCCCCCACAAGATTCAAAAGGGCAGGAGGGAGCAGATGCAGCAGACAAGGAGGCCCCAAGGTGGGGTGTCAGGCAGGACAGCTGGAGCCCCCTCTTCATCCTCCCCTTCCCCTGGCAGTGGTGCCCACATCTGCAGGGCCCGCTACAGCGTGGCCAGAGCTGGCCTCCCACAGTACTCCCTATGGACCAGGCATGGTCCTGAGACCCCACCAGGCTGTACTGCTACCACCCCCTTGATGAGGACATGGGCCCAGGCACATGGTGAGCATGTAGGGGAGGGGTGCGGACCAGCCGCACATGGAGGCCACGCTCACACCCACTCCCTGCCCAGGCACAGAGGGCCTGGCGCCCGGACACGAGGCGCCTCCAGGCTGCAGGGGGCCTTCTGCCTGGCAGCCGGTCTTGCTCAGAGATCCCAGGCAGGAGAATGGGGTCAGCCACGCCGAGTCTGAGCCCAAAGGCTGAACTCAGGGGGGCTTGGGATTTCCTTCTATGTCACACAGCCCAGGTCACTGGGAAGAAAACACCCAATGTTGCAGTTCCTGCCACAGCACACCCGACTGCTTTCGGCTGTTACATCCATTCACCCTCAGCATAACTGAGAGGAACTGAGTCATAAACCAGAGCAGGCCGTTCCCCAGGCTCAGACATCAGGCGGCGGCGGGAGGTCTCAGCTCCCCAGCGGGAAGGAAAGGCAGGTGCCGCTGACCCCGCAGGGCGCAGGCAGGGCTGGGCGGAGGTTTCCTCCATACAGGCATCTTCAGGGAGCCAAGGCTCCCCTTGCCAAGTCCTGCCAGGCATGAGGCATTGAATGGTGGCCCCAACTGACTCCCATAGCTGTGAATATGACCTTTGTTGGGAAGAGGGTCTTTGCAGATGTCATGACGTTGAGGTACTGAGGGAGGTCATCAGGGACTCCTGGACTAGGGTGGACTCTAAGTCCAATGACACGTGTCCTTACAAGATGCAGAGACGGCAAAGTCACAGAGGAGGCAAAGGCCAGCATGATGCAGCCGCAGCCAAGGACTCCTGGAGCTCAGGGGCCTGGGCAGGAGGACTCCCCCGCAGAGGGAGCGGCGCAGCCCTGCCCCATCCTGCCTTGGGGTTTCCACCTCTGCACCGAAAGAGTCACTGTCTGCTATCTTTGGTGCCCAGGCCGTGGCCCTCTGCTGCTGGCAGGCTGCCCAGGGCTCATCCTTGAGCCTCACATGCTACCCTTCAGGACATTACAGGAAAATTCAGGTCCATTTTGCAACCAATGCTGAGGGGAGGCCCTCATGACCACCGCCTGTTCCTAAAGGCTCTGCCACATCCCAAGCTCTCCCCACCAGGGCAGATGGTCACGAACAGCAAGGAAAGGTGGACGCTGTGCAGTTGTGCTTTCCATGACTTATTTACACAGCAACAAAACCAAGGAAACGGTCTGGCCAGAAACCCCTTGTGCAAATTCCTTCTGACCACACCAGAGGCCCCCGTGTCCCACCACGCATCAGCCGTAGCTGGGCTTCCCTCCCAGCCTGTCCTGGCCGTTCCCAAACACTGCCCCGGGAGGTGTCCCTCTGTGGTGGACACTTCACGGCAGTTACCCGAGTTTTCCAATCTATCTCTGCAACCAGAATTAACCCATGAGGCTTCCCGTCGACGGCCAGTTAGACTGTGCTGTGGGCTGCAAGTGAGACGAACGCTTGAGAAATGAGTTATGTTTGCACCGTGTTTTTCCTTACACTCTGCTTTTGGTTCTTGGTTTTTCATTAAAAAAAAAAAAGCATGTCAGTCTGATGTGTTCACATGCAGGGGAGAAGATCCCCCAAAAAGCAGATGACAGCAAACGAAAGGTGGGTGCCATGTGTGCCATTTCCAGAGTTAATCTGGAAGTGAAACAGTATCGCTGAAACAAAGTACGTGGAAGACGGGCACTGACGGGCAGCGAATTCTCTTGCTTGGAATATGGCTGCTGGCGACCCAAGGAAACGCCCAGCGTCAGCAACCTCTGTCCTCAAGACTCTCCCAGAATCCTGGGTCACCACAGCCTTTCCATGTGCCACACACCAGACGGACTCTCAAAGGTGCCCCCAGCTGCCCTGTGCACCCAATGACTGCCCCTCAACCTGCCCCCTCCGCAGCTGGGACTCCGTCCTCGACCCCATGGAGAGCTCCTCGCATGCACTGCCTGCCTTTCAGGTGTCGGTTTCCTCTCCTGTCTCTGAGTCCAGTACCCGCTGCGTCAGCATCGGAGCACTCCTAACTCGGATTCTGACCCAGGCAAGCCCTGGAAAGCAAGGCCTGGACGGCGACCCCAACTCCTCAGCCAGATCACGGGCCCGGGTCTGACCATGCCCACCGCTCTGGTGCTCCAGAATGGCCGGTGCTCCCCAAAAGCACAACGCACAGACCCTCCAAGACACCCTCAGGTGCCGGCTTTGTGGGAAACATTCCTTGACCCACCAAGGCAGACCTCACCTGCACCTGTGTCTATTGTTTCCAATGAAGTGTTCAGGACAGTGGCCCCCCACACACAACAGTCCCCCACCGAGGGCACCACGGCCTGGCACCTGCCAAGTGGCACGAGGTGACCACATTCCCTCTCCACTGTCTTGCAGGAGGAAAACAGGCTCAGAGAGATTAAAGCCTAGCTCAAGGTCACAGCGGGGGGCAGTGCTGACCCAAGAGCCTGTGCTCCCATCCTCTGGGAACACTGTCTGCACCATGAACCCCACTGCTCACCTCACATGACCTCACCATGTACTCCACGTGACCTCACCACTCACCCCACGTGACTCCACCGTTCGACCCCACTGCTCACCTCACATGACCTCACCATGCACTCCATGTGACCTCCCTGCTCACCCCACGTGACTCCACTGCTCACCCGTGACCCCACTGCTCACCTCACATGACCTCACCATGCACTCCACGTGACCTCACCGCTCACCCCATGTGACTCCACCGCTCACCCGTGACCCCACTGCTCACCTCACATGACCTCACCATGCACTCCACGTGACCTCACCGCTCACCCCACGTGACTCCACCACTCACACATGGCCCCATGTCACCTCTGGCCTACATTCTGTGACCTTGCAGTCCACACATACACACGTGTCCGGGTAGTGAACACTGCAACTGCTTACTACGAATGCACACCAGCCAGCTAAAGGAGAACAGGGCCCGTCGCAGGAAGCAACAGCACAGGCCCCGAGGCACAGGGCTGTGACACTCAGCTCAGCACACAGGCCTGTGCAAAAATCAGAGGAACTCAACAGAAAACCTGGCCTTCCCTACCCAAGTAAGAATAGGAACCCCTGAAGGACCAGCCATGGGCTTGGCAAATCCTCCACCCTTCCTCACAGGCGAGCGCAACCCTGGAAGAGGCCTGTGTCTCTTCAATCCTGCAGAGCCTGAGGGCCCCACATCACTTACACAGCTTTTACCAAAGATCCACATGACGCAGGCTGCAGTCAGCCCTGGGCCCTGGGATCTGTGACCAAATGCCCTTGAGACGACAGGGCTGGCAGAATCCACAAGCTTCCCTGCGGTGTGAGGGATAATGGTGATCTCGCTCCCACACCACTTTCCACAAGAGAAAGTCATTTGCCTTTGTTACTCTGGAAAACGTTTTCACTTTGTTGCATCTTGTAAACATTAGGGCAGTTGCAGGAAAAGCAGATGACTTTGGTGTCTCTCCCGACGATGGAGAGACTGTAAAATTGCTTTTGCTTTCACAGTCTCAGGGGAAGGGGAGGGAAGAGGAGAGGGTGATGGGCACATGGAGAAGCTGGCTGCGCCGTCTATGTTTTGATTTTATTAATATAGGGAGTGATGGTTTTAGGAAAAAGGTTTTGGTTGGGTTGAAGTTACTACAATGATTAGGTCATTTTCTAGTTCTTCCTGTGGCAGCATCTGGGAAGCTTAGAAACTGACTTGGGGCCGGGCGCGGTGGCTCACCCCCGTAATCCCAGCACTTTGGGAGGCCGAGGCAGGCGGATCACAAGGTCAGGAGATCGAGACCATCCTGCCTAACAGGGTGAAACCCCATCTCTACTAAAAAGTACAAAAAATTAACCAGGCGTGGTGGCGGGCGCCTGTAGTCCCAGCTACTCGGGAGGCTGAGGCAGGAGAATGGCGCGAACCCGGGAGGCGGAGCTTGCAATGAGCCGAGATCGCGCCACTGCACTCCAGCCTGGGCGACAGAGAGAGACTCCGTCCAAAAAAAAAAAAAAAAAAGGTGACTTGCAAACATCAGAAATAGGTCATCAAAACGTGTCCCCATTTCCTACTGGCACCCAAATAGACAGGCTGAGGTGTGCACGGTTAGTCACCGTCAGAAGCTATAACCCAGCGCAGGGCCCACGGGAAACCAAGCAGTGACGCGGGCGCTTCCTGATACGATGCTGACGGTGCTGGCAGCGGAAGGCGCCGGGAAGCTGGCCCGGCCCAGGCTCCACACGGGCTTCGGCCATGGCTGTGTGTTCTTTGCCGAGTGAACAAGTAGCCCGCAGGGCTGGAGACGGACAAGGGCACACGCTCGGGGGCTGCTATCACATCCACGGCGTCGGTCCTGAAGGCCGGAACGCGTCTTCCACGTGCGCCTGTCCCCTGCGTGGCGGCGGCCTGCGCTCCCTCCTCCCGAGGATCCAGGGGCCTCCCAGAACCCCTGGGGACCCTCACATTCTGATCTCCTGAATGCCAAGCCAAGAGCGTCCTCCATCTCCAAATCCCTGCTCTATCCGCCCAGCTGAGTGTGCCGCACCTTGAGAGCGGTTCCTGCCCAAACTCTGTGGCTGCTGAGCTGAGCACTGATTTGGCGCCAAGTGCTGCACTAAGTGCTTTAGGCGCTGAACTCAGTCCACCGTACGAAAACCTTATGAAGGGGATACCATTACCATCCCTGTGCTGCAGATGAGGAAACCGAGGCAGGAAGGCTGAGGAACTTGCTGTAGGTTCCACGGCCGGCAGGAGGAGGGACCGGGATCAACCTGCGGCAGCCTGGCGGGAGCTGATGTCTCGCTCCGGAGGGTGGGCCTGCTCTTCCAGTCTCGGGTGTCACGGAGGGGTTAGTTTCTACCCGGCCCACCGGGACAGTGCATTGGGACCCCTCTCGGCCCTTCTCTTCTGCACAAATAGGTGCTTTGGTGGCAAAGCAAAGACGTTCACTAAAAACCGCTGAGTGAGGTGATGGGGAGATGGAGGCGTCGCTGCGGGTTCGAGCTATTCTCTGTGATATGCGGCTTGACAGATGGGGGCTGTGGTGGGAGGAAGGCATTTCACAGGGACATGGGTGGCATGGAGGTGGGGGCAGCTCCAGCCCTGCTCTTTCTGTCACATCTCACCCAGACCACTGGGCAGGAAGCATCCAGGAGCAGTAACAAGAGATTCAGAGCTCTGCAGTCCCACAGGCTTGGGTTTGAATCCTTGCTCTGTCCCTGCCTGCACCCAGGGAGCCAGAGCCAAGTGCTCTTTAGGAGTGCCCTGTAGGACACGCAGAGCTCCGCCGGGTGCTTCTATGTGGGGGCGCAGGGCAGCCCCTCTCACCTGTCCCAACTGCCTCTCACCTCCGTTTCCACAGAGCAACCAGAGTGGCCTTTTTCAACATTTTTAAAAATATGAATCATCAAAACAAGTAGCATACCCCATTCCACCAGGCCTCTGGCGCTCACCTCCCGTCATTCACAGCAGGGGAACACGATGCACGCTCGCATCGAGATGAGCTCCGCACGGGCTGGGCCCTGTTGCCTCCTCCTCCTCCTGAGACACCCATCCATCGGACATACCCATGGCTGCCCCTGCCTTTCACTGAGACCTCAATTCAAAGGCCAAGACCCTCGCAAGGCGGTCACCAGTCATGCTCCACCTCACCAGCCAGGATCACTGCTTTGCAGAATTCCCGCTGCCCTAAGACTGAGGCCTTGGGATGTTTTTGTGTCTGCTGGTCTAGACTGCAAAGTCCCACGAGGGCAGGCACGGGGTCTTGGTCATGCCGGCCGTTGGCCCCGAACTGCAGAGTAACTGCATAACAAGCACGTGCAGAATTAACCAGGGAACGCGAGAGCAGCTGCTCTCCAGAGACGGATCCCCTGTCAGGATGCAGTGCAGTCTACAAGGAAGCTGCTTTGCTTTCCATGCTGCCAGCACGGCCGGACGCCCCATTTCCAGCTCTCGTTTCCACCTTTCTGAGCAGACCCTGCGTGGGTGAGGTGGAGCCTACAGCAGCTCCCATGACACACCTGCAGGAGGCTGTCCATGGCCAGCTCTGTGTGGGCCCCTGAGAGGAGGCCCCACCCCGACCACCACACCCACGGGAGGTGAGCCTGTGCTACAGGGGCCGAGGGAAGGAAGCGTGTGAGATGCGCCACGGAGGGAAGGGGCATCTGCTGTTTGGGGAGCCAGGAGGGGCTGGGGGTGGGGAAGATCGACAGGTGAGGTGGCTGGGAGGGCCCAGGGACAGCAGCAGCCCAGGCACCAGGGCAGGGGGCAGAGGCTGCTCAGTGGACAAAGACCAGGCCAGGTGGCCCCTCACGCCCTTTATCCTACGGGAGGGGAAGGCAAGAGGCAAGGCATAGGGTGGTGAGTGGGCGTCCTTCAATTCATCTGTGGAGTCAGTGTCTAACCTGGCATCGGGTGCAAAGAGATATTCCACGAGCCAGCCCAGGACAAGCTGCATGCAGGGCCTCCCACCACCACTGCTGCCCCAGCTGGAACTGCCAAGGGCCGCCTCACCAAGGCACGGTGCGTTTCCTGGTGGGAATGACGGGAGCCCTCCACCTGCATGTTTACCTGCGGAGTCCAAGCAGTCGGCAACACTGGAGACCTCAAACTTCTGGTCAAGGATGCTGGGATAGGCGTTCAGAAAGTCCACTGACTTCAGCGGACTGCGGAAGCAAGCTCCATCTAGGACACACATTCCAGTGACTTTGGTGGAAGACGGGAACCCAAGCCACTGGGGACCCCAAGCCGGGGGCACCCCAAAGCATGGAGAATGTCCAGAGGACCCGACAGCCACGGACCCATGAGCCAGGGTCTGGGTCTCAAGGACTCTCCCCATCCCAACCTTTGCCCATGCCTTGGGGAGTCGGTCGGCACTATCTGATAACATGTCTTTCCTTCTGCACATCTAGGGTGCGTTCACAGAACAGCTGAATCAGTGGGGCCAGGAGAACCCACCCCACCGGGTTGTGTTCCAGGGCCCCCACCAGTGTGCAGCGGAGCCTCACCCTGGACCCGGCGTGCCCGGAGGCCCAGCAAATAGTTGCTTGTCTGCTGCAGCAGGACGTTGTTGTCACCTTCGTATGTGCAGTTGGGATCGTTGTCATCTCTAAGGACACCCAACCGGTTCACTGCAACAAAGCCACAATAGTACCATCATTTAAGATGCATAATTGTGAAACAGCCAGTCACTATGTGAGAATTTAAAATGCCCTAAGAGGCTGGGCGCAGTGGCTCACACCTGTAATGGCAGCACTTTGGGGGGCCAAGGCGGGTGGATCACTTGAAGCCAGGTGTTCAAGACCAGCCTGGCCAACATGGTAAAACCCACCTGTACTAAAAATACAAAAATAGCCGGGTGTGGTGAGTGTGTGCCTGTAGTCCCAGCTAGTCAGGAGGCCGAGGCAGGAGAATCGCTTGAGCCTGGGAGGCGGAGGTTGCAGTGAGCTGAGATTGTGCAACTGCACTCCAGCATGGGCAACAGAGCAAGACCCTGTCTCAGAAAAAAAAAAAAAAAAAAGCCATGAGTTTGAGACAAGCCTGGGTAACATAGTGAGACCCTATCTCTACAAAAAAATGAAAAAAAAAATTAGCTGGGCATGGTGGCAAGCACCTGTAGTCCCAGCTACCCCGGAGGCTGAGGTGGGAGGATTGCCTAAGAGCCCAGGCATCTGAGGCTGAAGTGAGCCACGGTCATGCCACTGTACTCCAGCCTGGGGGACAGGGCAAGACTGTCCAAAAAAAAAAAAAAGCCCTAAACCCAGCTTGACCAGACACAAAAAACTGTCACCCCTGCTTCAAGTCCCAACCCCAGCTCCTCCTCACTGCTGTCAGCAAGCCCTGCACGGTCATCCCGCAGAGCCTCCCCTGGTATGGGGTCGCTGACAGGAGGGAACCATCTCAGCAAGCTGACGCCCCCCGGGCTGCCCTTCTTCCTTCCGTAACTGAACGAACTCTTCTTTTAATACAGGAAATATCAAGACAACTTTTCTTTTGTCTTTCCTATCAATTAGCTGGATGCCTTCACATAGGTTATAAGGCTTGCTTTCCAGACCCTCACGCACTCAAGCCTGCTTGCTCTGATGGAAAGTGTTCTCTGAACGTGAGGCTGGGATGGGCCCAGCAGGAAGGGAGTGGAGCTGACTTCTCACACTCACATACTATGACTGATGGGTCCTGAGAGCATGAACGGACTCCTACTGCAGCCACGCTGCCAGCAGGCTTGTGATTAGGCTTGTGACCACCTGGAACACCTGATCGTTTTCTCCTGACTTGCTGTCAAATCTTGCCACGTGCCTCCTGTCATGTAACAGGTTGGCCACTGAACAAGAGCCGGGAGAGGCCCCAGCGAAACATTTGCAATTGATTTTCTAAACCTAGATGGAGCTTCGGTTGTGTTGGTCTCAATCCCAGCATATGTATATGTATATGTATATGATGAATCTTGATTCCATTGTCTTTGTTGTCTGTAGTACTGCAAGATTCAATTTCGTTATTCAACTATTTATAGAATCCCGATGAGTTACAACGACAAATAAAAACTACTAAGGGCATTGCGCAGAGGGCAAAGCATGCAAATGAGCAACTTATGTACAGCCATGGCTACCCACATGGCAGGAAGCGACAAAGGCAGAGTGTGGTGGGAGTGAGAGGCCACGTTGCTGCTGGCCCATGCTGGAACAGGTGCGAGTTAGAACTGCAGTGGTGGGCGGATGATTGCTGAAAGCGTGTGTGTAGTTCTAGACAAAGCATCGCCAAAACTCTCACAAACTTGGCAAGGGCCTAAAGCGCTCCTGGAGGGCAAGAGAGTTTTGCGGATGCTGTGGCTGTTTTGAGTGTGTACATGGTCTTCTTTGAGCAACCAGTTTTTGCCAGTTAATTATTTAAGATTAGCACACAGGAAGTTTTGCAGATAAGCTGTAAATAATGCTGATGATAATTCTAATAATAACAGCATTAGCAAATAAAAAAGTCAGTGGGCACGCACTACAAGCCAGATACCAAGCTTACACTTCATACGTGTTAATTCACTTAATTCTGGCAAGAACCTATGTTGTGGGTACACTATTATCAACCCCCACTGTAAAAATAAGAAAACTGAGCACAGTGAGGTTAAGCAACCTGCCCACAGTTACCAGGCTGTTGGACGGAGCCAGGACTCAATCCCAGGCAAGCTGGTGGCCCCTGTTCTTAACCACACAACAGCTGCCTCGGTTATCGTCAATGCTGATATAACTGACTCTTTTTCTAAGTGTAAGAATTTTCTATCCAAATAAAACATGGTGCTAGTTTACTACCAAGCTGTTAACCAAACAGTTAAAATTCAAATGAGCAGATCAGCTGCTCTCTGCCTGTATTTTGGCCAAAGCATCAGGCATCTGAAAGCAGTGGGATCTATCTAGGGCAGGGGTTGGCAAACTTGTTCTGCAATGGACCAGAGAGTAAATATTTTCAGCTCTGCAAGCCACATGGTCTCTGTCACAGCTGGGATTACTCAACTCTGCCCTTGCAGTGTGAAAACAGCTGCAGGAAATGTGCAAATGAACGGGGGTGGCTGGCTGTGTTCCAATAAAACTTTATTTGCAAAAACAGGTGGCAGGCTGGATTTGGTCTTCAGGCCACAGTCTGCCGACCCCTGGTCTAGAGTCAAACAGCAGGGTTAAGGACAGGAAACCACCATGCGCTTCTCCAAAACCTACTGGCTAGATAGCCGTGTCCTCCACACGCCTCCCGGCATTCCTGAATTCCTTGCTGGGCGGTCCACGAGGCCAGGGGCTTGCCGGCTGATGCCAGAGCGTGGATCTCACGTCCAAGCTCTGCCTTTGGGTGAGGGAATCCAACAAGAACAGGTGAAAGGAGACTTTTGACACCAAAAAGTCAGATGTCAGCAATAACATCAAACCACCCTATCACCTCTAGTCTAATACAAGACATCCTGAAAATGACAGAAGAGGAAACCTAATTGTAATTAGAAATAAAAAAGGGTCTTTATCCAAGTATGGGTGCACTGTGGTATGCTCATACCACTTCACAACAATGAAAACACCGCTCCACACAGCAAATAGCTTTCAGGGCCCTGACATGGCTCCCAGAAGCAAACTGCAGAAGAATGTCATGGCCCAGTTTATATAAAGGTCACAAATGTCAGAGTGAATGACACGCCATGGAAGGTTGCAATTGTTTGCAGTGAAACCATGAAGAAAGGCCAGAGAATCAGACCCAGCACCGCAGACAGTGCTCCCTCCCAGGACAGGGAAGGGCCGGGACCAGTGCATTCCAGAAGGGCTGCAAGTGCCTTGGTAACTGACGGTCTGCTCTGCGTGGGTGCTCACTGTGCCTCCCTCGGGCCTAACATGTTTCATTGAGACTCCTTTGCTGTCCATGGCCACACTACCCTGAATGAGCCTGATCTTGGAAGCTAAGCAGGGTTGGGCCTGGTTAGTACTTGGATGGGAGACTGCCTGGGACCAGCAGGTAATGCAGCCTTTTCTTTTAAGGGAAAAAAAAGAAGAAGAAGAAGAAGACTCCTTTGCTTCTACTTGATATCTAATGATGAAAACTTAAGAGACTGGGCCAGGCACGGTGGCTCACGCCTGTAATCCCAGCACTTTGGGAGGCCGAGGTAGGCAGATCACTTGAGCCCAGGAGTTTGAGAACAGCCTGGGCAACACTGGCGACACCCTGTTTCTACTGAAAAATACAAAAAATTAGCCAGGTGTGCTGGCGGGCATCTGTAGTCCCAGCTACTCTGGAAGGCTGAGGCAAGAGAATCGCTCGAACCCAGGAGGCGGAAATTGCAGTGAGCCAAGATCGCACCACTGCACTCCAGCCTGGGCAACAGAGCGAGACTCCGTCTCAAAAACAAACAAAAAAAACAAACAAAAAACTTTAGAGACTGATTCAAGCTAAAAGAAGAATTTTTACTTTTAAAAAAGAAATAAATTAAAAAAGAAAAACAAGAGGAAGACACACACAAACACACACACACACACACACACACACACACACAAACGTTAAGTCCAATGACCCATTTTATGAGTGTTTTCAACTTCACATAAGGGGCTGAGGCGAGGCCCTCCTCTGCCTGGGTTAAACCGCTGAGTTTCAGAAACAATGAGCCTGGTCACCCTTTACAACATTATTCACAGGAGAGTGTCAGAGCTGGCGAGAGCTCCACTGACTCACGCTCCCAGGAAAATATAGGCTTAACCCTTCAGAGGTCAGAAGCGCTCCCTCCTCAGGCCTCCCGAGCCTGGGATTTGCTCTGCCACCAATCCTGCAGGTCATCCCTTCGCCATCACCTGCCGTGAATGCGGACACCAGTAATACTTCAAGATATGCTAATTAGATGCAGGATTTTTCTGATGTTGTACGTAACTGCAAGCTGCAGTATTTCTCCTCTGCTTCCAAACATGGTTATTTCTTTCGATTCACATTTCCCTCTTGCTCAGGAGGCAGCAGGAGGGACAACGGAAAATCAGTTCATAACCATCTACAAAGAAATCCGTTCTCGACGTCTCTTTATGCCGAGGCTGATCTCGGGATTTGCACGCTTGTTTCTGGCACAAATCCTCTGACTGTCAACTCAAATCCAGTCAGTGGGATTCAGACCTTTGTGCAGCTGTTTACAAAAGGCTCAGAACCATGAAAGCCACTGAGGGGCGGGTAATGTGGATTTTGCAAAACCGTCAGGTTCTCAAAAGAAGCCCAACAGCTGAACTCACAGACTGGAACCAAGAGTCGTGTCAGCACATCCTTGAGAGGCAGGAGTGTGGACGCGTGCCCAGCCCGTTCAATTGCAGCAGAGGCCAAGAGCTCCGAGTGGGTGGGAACAACTGGAGGAATGCGTCCTAGGCTCTGTCCTTGCAAATCAAACGACTGATTTTGCTTTGAAATGAAGGCTGAATCTGTGCTGCTCCAACCGTGTGAGATTCAAACGATGCTGCTGAGGAAGCAGACACCACCTCACCTGTCTGGCGCTGCAGTCGCCCGAGGCATGTCCTCGCTGGAGCTCCACCAGGTCCAGGAAGAGCGACTTGGAGAAGTGGTCTAAGGCGTAGGCAGCTGCCAGATACGGAAGCAAGCGGCATTGCTAGAACAGACAAGACACCTGTGTGAACACACCACAGTTCCCAGGAAGGGCAGCCCATCCTAGGGACCGTGAAAGCCAGTGCAGGGAGAGGCCATCAGGGCCGTGCACCCACTAGAGCTGAAGGTCTCCACGTGTCTTCCCGGCACATCAGAAAACCTTCATCCTGACACGCTTTCAACTCAGCCAGTTCGGCTTTCACCCATGGCCCCTGACGGACAACCCCAAACGCAATTCCCTAAACGGCCACTATTCACAGCTGTCCCATCAAAGTCACTACAGAACAAAGTGCCAGTCCATCTGTGAACTCAGAAGGCCGCGCTGCTAGGGGCCAACTCCCCGGCACACGGACTGACTGGCTGACAGCACGTGCCTCATGAGCCTGTGAGGACGAGGCTGTCACCCTGGGACAGATGGGAAAGCTGAGGCCCACACAGAGCTGGCAGCCCCTCGAAAGGCAGAGTGCACGTCTTTTTCACTTTGTCTGAAACAGCATAGGGTCCACCTATTGTTGGATGGGTGGGTGGCTGGGTGGATGGATGGATGCATGTATGGTGGGTGGTGGGTAGGTAGGTGCATGGGTGGGTGGATGGATGAATCCGTGGATGGGTAGATGGATGGGTGGGTGGATGTGTGGACAGGTGGGTGGATGCATGGATAGGTGGGTGGATGCATGGATGAACAGATGAATGACTCACGGTGGGTGGGTGGCTGGGTACATGGCAGGACAAGCCTGAGAGGATCCTGAGGAAACCGCCATCACCACCATGGTCTAACGTGTCAAGAGTGCTGAGCTGCCATGGCACCAGCTGCTTCCATGCCCTAACTTTTTTAATCCTCACACTGATCCTAGGAAGAAGTTTTATCATCAGTTCTAATTTACAAATGATAAAATGAGAGCATAGCAAAGCTAAAGACCTTGCCTGAGGGCACAAAGCCAGTTGGGGGTGGGCCTTGGTGGTGAGGTCAAGCATGGTGGCCCCAGTGCGCTCTCTTGACTGCCGAGTTGCCCTTGGCACCCAGAGTGCTGTGACCATACACGGGAGGGGATGGGTGCCACACAGGCATGAACAAGAACACTTACTAAACAGGCTCATAGCTCTGGTCAAAGCATGTGGAAAAAAACAACTGCAATTCTGTTACAATTTCCTCGAAGTTTCACCCAAATCTACCTTTGTTCATGCACAGCTTGGTCCGGGACCTGGGCCTGAGTTAGCCTGTGCACTTTAACTGGATTTCCTATTTGATCCTCAGTTCCCCCACCGGTAAAATGGGAGTAATCCCAACCCTCTTAGCTGTGAAGACCAAACCCATGGCACAGGGCTCATGCCCTGCAAGCACCACAGGAAAGTTCACTGCGAAAATTCATCCCCCTTCCGTGAAACAACATCTGTGCTTTTCCACGCTGCTGACTGGGCTGCGTGTGTGCACGTCCACAGCTGCCCCGTCTCTGAGGACGTGTAGGGCCCACGCTCTGTGCCCACGCCACCGTTCTAAATGCCATCGCAGTGAACAGGGCTGTACGCTCAGCTGCTGCTTCTTCCAAATCACCTGCCAGGCATCATTTCTTAGGGATGGGATGAAAATGTCAAAGAGCATGTACAGGGCATGCAAGGCCACTGCCTGCCAAGCTGTGGCGGCCTCACCTGAACGTGCAGCTGTGCACACATCCACCTCCCAGAGCCGCCCCATACTTGCTTCCTTCTGGCCGGGTGCGGTGACTCACACCCGGAATCCCAGCACTTTGGGAGGCCGAAGCAGGTGCATCACCTGAGGTCAGGAGTTCAAGACCAGCCTGGCCAAAATGGCGAAACCCCATCTCTACTAAAAATACAAAAATTAGCCGGGCATGGTGGTGCATGCCATAATTCCAGCTACTCGGGAGGCTGAGACACGAGAATCACTTGAACCTGGGAGGTGGAGGTTGCAGTGAGCCAAGATCATGCCCACCGCATTCCAGCCTTGGTGACAGAGCAAGACTCCATCTGAAAAAAAAAAAAAAAGACTTGCTTCTTTCCATCGTCCTTATTTTGGCTACTTCACATATACTCTTTTTAAATTAAAAACCATTTACTGGAAGCCTTGTGGCCTGAGGTGCTGCACTCCCGCTAACTAATCATCCTGTTAATTGCCTTAAGAGCTTTGATCAACTCCCAGTAACCAAACTGCAACTATGTAAAAGAAGTGAATTTGCACATAAAATAGAAAGACAAGGAAAGGATGCTTGAAAACCCTGTACCTGCATTGGATACTCAAGCACGGCTATTTCCTCCTCCTGGGTGGGTCCAAACTGACGCCGAGTGGCTGAGAAGCGAAGAGCGATGGCTATGGCCAGCTTTAGGTTAACGACGGCCAGGCTCAGGATGGAGACCCGGCCCGAGGACAGGCCCCCCAGGGACACTCCGAAGCGCTGCCTGACGTCCTGCGGAAGGAGTGCAGATGATGAGCGCAAGCCCGGCCGCGCGGCCACCTTGGACAGAGCGGCCTAGAGGCGAAGGTGCCCTCGTTTGTTCATTCAGAGTAGACCGGTGCCCACCTGCCCATGCCTCATCCCCAGGGTGCCCCAGGCACAGGACGGTGCGGCAGCAGGTACAGGTGTCACTGATGAACCGTGGATGGAATGGGGGCACTGGGGAGGGGACACCCAGCTGCCTGGAGAAGGGACAGTCCTCGTAGAGGGAACGGTATGACAGCACTGGGTAACAGTGCTCCCACTTTGGGGACTTGCAAACCATCTGCCTGGAGATTCCAAGGCCCACCTTTAACCTTGGCAAGAATCAGATGTGGCCTGTACTGCCAGAGGGCAGGGGCGGAGTCCATTAAAGGCAGCCATGCCAGGGGGTTTCACGGACACCTCTCCTTCCCTGTGTGCCTGTGAACAGGCAGTTCCTTTACATGCGTCTAGCTGGAATCTTCCATCCACTACGTCCTCACACGCATCACCGGCATCAGCAGCGGCTGTTGCTAAGGCCTGTCCAGGCTGTTGTGGGCACATCCAACCTACAGCCCTTGCCACGTGATCTGACCGTCCTTCCTGCCCTGCCCCTTGCTGCCCCATCAGGCCTGCTCCTCTGACCATCTAGGTCCTTCTTCCAAGGCAGCATGGTAATTGTGTGTCTGAGTGTATTGATCACACTCTAACACAGGAATCACAGTCTCATTGTGCTTAAAAACATATTTAAGCCGGGTGCAGTGGCTCATGCCTGTAATCCCAACACTTTGGGAGGCTGAGGTGGGCGGATCACCTGAGGTCAGGAGTTCAAGACCAGCCTGGCCAACATGGTGAAATCCCGTCTCTACTGAAAATACATAAATTAGCCAGGCATGGAGGCGGGTACCTATAGTCCCAGCTACTCGGGAGGTTGATGCAGGAGAATCACTTGAACCTGGGAGGCAGAGGAGAGGCTGCAGTGAGCTGAGATTGTGCTGCTGCACTCCAGCCTGTGTGACAGAGCAAGACTCCATCTCAAGAAATATATATACATATATATTTAAAGTGATTTCCCTTTAAGGGTATAAAATACGATTTCACTGTCTTCATGCATTCACTGTCATGTTTGAGAAATCTGAAGTTCAAGTGTTTTTTATTCCACTGGAGTCAGATCTGGAAGATTCTAGAATTTTCTCTTAGGAATTCCTCAATTTCTCTACCGTCTGCCTGGGTACGTGCATAGGTACTTTCTTACTTTTCCTCTTTGGTCCTCCATGAGTCCCTTCAACCAAAGGCCTTCTTCTCCTCTCTCATTTAGAGACATTTCTCTCCTTTATTTCTCTATACTTCATTTCTTTCTTTCTTTTTTGAGATAGGGTCTCGCTCTGTTGCCCAGGCTGGGGTGCAGTGGTGCAATCATGGCTCACTGCTGCCTGACTTCCTGGGCTCAAGTTATCCTACCATCTCAGCCTCTCAAGTAGCAGACTACAGGCATGTGCTACCACACCCAGCTAATTTTTGCATTTTTAGTAGAGATGGGGTTTTGCCACATTGCTCAGATTGGTCTGGAACTCCTGGGCTCAAGCGATCTGCCCACCTTGGCCTTCCAAAGTCCTAGGGTTACGGGCATGAGCCACTGCACCCAGCCTTCATTTTCTTTAATCCTCTCCTTCTGCCTTCTAGAGGACAAGTTTCCAATCCCTAATTCATCCTCCTGAGATAGTCATCCCATCTGCTGTGCTTGTTCTTCCAATCACTTTATTTTTAATTGATGTTGGATCTCCGTTTGTGAGCGGCTCCTGGTCTCATGTTGCTGTTCCCATTCTGGGCACCCTGTGTGTCTCTGGGCATCCCCATCACGCTCCTTCTCCATCGTGCTTCCTGCATGTCAGATGCTGCATGCTGCTGGGAACTGGTATTCCAAGGGTGTGTGCTTGGGGGGGGGGCCCACCTGCTGTGAGCTCATGATTCCTGAGGGCCATCAGCTACGACCTGGGCCATCGCCCCCCGAGACCATGATCTCTCTTCTGCTCTCCATGAACTTAAACCAGGCGTGAGTTCTGGACACCAGGGGACTCTGTTTGTCGTCCCCCTTTGTGGACAGTTCGCCAGGAGACCCGTTTCCTTTGAATCTTCAGGAAAGCATCACTGGAAGTGGGCAGTCCTCTAACTGCAGCCCTCGAAGGGGAGTGGGCATTGTCAGACCCAGACTCACCCCCTGTACACCAGCACCTGGTGCTGTGGCTGTCCTGAGTCCCCTTTTAGTGGGAGCACCAGAACCCAAACCAGGAGAAGTATGCCCCAGCGACGCCTGGCCCGTGTGGAGGGGTCTCCTTTCCAGGCGCAGGGAGGAGCAGAGCCAGGCCCTGCACAGGAAGGCACTGGGAAGCGCGGCACACAAACGGACCCCATGCCTGTACCTTAAAGGGGCTGACGTAGGTGCCCTCGGGGGTGACGTCTCCCATCCGGTTCAGGAGGCTCTGGCGAGGAACTCTGACCTTGTGGAACATGGCGAAACTGTGCGGGGAAGCAGCAGGGCTTCTGTTAAAAGGGGGTCCTGCCCTGAGGCTCTTCTCTTCTCCCCCAAGGGCAGCCGAAAAGGTGATACAATCCCCGAAGACAAAGAAAATGACAGAGGGCACGGCAGTAGACAGGAACATTCAACCAACTTTCTATTAAAAAAAGTAGTCTAGGCAGGAACAGTGGCTCATGCCCAGAATCCCAACTCTTTGGAAGACCGAGACAGGAGGATTGCTTGAGCCTAGGAGTTCGAGACCAGCCTGGGCAACACAGTGAGACCCTGTTTCTAAAAAAAAAAAAAAAGGCCCGGTGTGGTGGCTGTAATCCCAGCACTTTGGGAGGCCGAGGCAGGAGGATAACCTCAGGTCAGGAGTTTGAAACCAGCCTGACCAATATGATGAAACCCCGTCTCTACTAAAAAAATCAGCCAGGAGTGGTGGCTTGTGCCTGTAGTCCCAGCTACTTAGGAGGCTGAGACAGGAGAATTGTTTGAACCCGGGTGGCGGAGGTTGCAGTAAGCCAAGATCTCGCCACTGCACTCCAGCCTTGGTGACAGAGCAAGACTCCATCTCAAAAATAATAGTAATAATAATAATAAAAGCATTGTGTATATGGTAAGTTGTACTCCAGGTACAGAACTCCAGGTATTCAACAGAAAAGACAGGAACTGTGTTTCTAAACATTGGAATCTCTGATTCTCATACTTCAATCTCAAACCAGAATCCACAATGTGATAATATTGGCAAACTGAGGTTTAAAACTCTTAAGTCAAACAAAATAAGTGGTGTGATGGCATTGGTGCTCCCTCGGCAAGCAAACTCACTTCTTTTGAACAGATGAGCATAGGATTACACACACATTGTTATGGCTCATGATGTGTTAATAACCAAAGATATCTGTTATGGTCGTCTGGTCAGGAAAACCTATTTCACAGCAGTCTAGGGAATAAGGTTACGCTAGGTTATGAATATTACATAAACTGTGCAAAAACCCCCCAAAACAAACTTCAAAATATCAATAGTTCCTATAGCAACTTATCTGATTCCTAACATCACATGCAATGCCTTAGGGCAGCAATCCTCAACCTTTTTGGCACCAGGGACTGGCTTTATGGAAGACAATTTTTCCACGAATGAGGGGGAGGTGGGGGTGGTTTCGGGATGATTCAAGCACATTATATTTATTGTGCACTTTATTTCTATTACTATCACATTGTAACACATAATGAAATAATTATACGATTTGCTATAATGCAGAATCAGTGGGAGCCTGAGCTTGTTTTTCTGCAACTAGATGGTCCCATCTGGGGGTGATGGGAGACAGTGACAGATCATGAGGCATTAGATTCTCATAAAGAGCAGCACTCGCCCTAGATTCCTCACATGCGCAGTTCACAGTAGGATTCACGCTCCTATAAGAATCTAATGCCGCCACCGCTCTGACAGGAGGAGCAGCTCGGTTGCTCGTGCGAGAAATGGGGAGTGGCTCTAAACACAGAGGAAGCTTCGCTGGCTCACTGGATGCTCACCTCCTGCTGGGTGACCTAGTTCCCACCAGGCCACAGACCAGTACTGCGGGCTTGGGGACCCCTGCCTTACACAATAGTCTTTTACGAACCCACAGAAAACACCGTCTACAAGGGACAATCGCACACGCTGGGAGGGAAACGGAGGCACCCCCGTTTCCTGCACGGGCTCTTCCTTTAGTCCTGCTCTGGATGCCCCCATACCCCCGTCGCCACCTGGTCCCGGGCTGTCAGCTCTGCCGGCCTGGCCCGATTCGCTTCCTCCCCTCCATCCCCACCTAGGACCCAGCACCTCCATCCCTACTCAGCTCCCCTGAGCGGATTTCCTGCAACAACCATATTGGCTCTTCCCTAACTCCACCTCTTCAGCCCGTCCTCCCTGTGGGAGCAGGGCCCTTTCCCAAAGGCCTTCGGAATGGCAGTGGCCAATGTGGAGAGTCCGCCCAAAGCCGACCTCCGTCTGCCCCTCTAACAGCAACGACGCCTTGCCGTGAGGTGGTCCCGCCTGCCTGTGGTGCCCCATCCACCAGGCTCTCTTCTGGCCTCGTGCCCTCCCTGCAGTCACTGTTGACACCAGGCAGCCCTCGGCCCACCTGGGAATTGTGTGCCCCACCCTGGGAAGGGTATGAGGCGGACCCCAGGGTGGGGTCCCTCGACCGTCACCTTTCCTGGTTCCTGGGTGAGCTAGCTGCCTCTCAGCAGTCTCCCCGGGCTCACCCCCTTCTATGAGGGGGCCACCGTGCATGGGGCCTCCCAGACTTAAGGGACGGGCACATAAGTGGCATGGTATGAACAAGCCAGGTGGGGTCAGATGACATCCTCTGAGGCATAAGGGCCAGGCCAGGATCCCGACTCCTGGGACAGCCTGAGGGAGAGACACAGCAGTTTCCATGCTCCCAGAAGGAGCCAGGCCCTGGGGCCGGGTGGGGATGGGGCTGGAGCTCCTTAGGGAAACCTGGGCGACCTGGTGAGGGAAGGGCTCTCAGCCGCTTTGCCGGGCACCTGCCCACCTGCAGGAAGCGAAGGGCAGTGGGAGGGGCCAGCTCCTCCAAAGCCCTAGGCCCGACTGCCCAGCTGGGTGGCAGCTTCCCCCATGCCACAGCCGCACACTCAGAACACCCCACCGCGTGAGAAAAACCTTGCCTTGGTGCCAACAGCCCCAGCGTGCTCCAGCCTGTTACTTGAAAGCCACGGAATGCCTTTTCCAGTATGAGCTGGTCACAGTCAGCGCGCTTTTCAAGCAGTGGAAATTCTTTGCCCATTCTCACCACACGGAATATATGTATACTTGCAAAAACATTCCCGTGAGTTTCAAGGAAAGCAAACTTCCACGAAGTCTCATGGGATCCCTTCTGTTCCACAGAAGCTCTTCCAGTGGCGGTCAGATGTGGTCAACTCAAACGCAAGCCAGATCCCCGGCGGGCGATGTGTGCGTATGTCACAGGTGTGTGTGCGCACAGCACAGGAGGGGTGTGTGTGTGTCACCGGACATGCATATGGCACAAGAGGCCTGAGTGTGGCGCAGAAACCCTCACACACCCCAACCCCAGGAGCGCCCAGGCCTCAGCACTCACCCCGCACCCTGGGCCTCCCGCTTCATATCACAGCAGCTTCCTTCCTCCCTTGGGGCCTCGAAGGGCCCCCCAGCCCAGCCCAGTCCGCCAGAGCAGACCGTTGAGTTTGGCGGGCCTCCTCCCAGCCACCGCCTCAGTTCAGGGCAAACAAAAGGAGAAAGACCCTTAAGTGCAGCCCACCTTAAGAGTCTGGCTGAAACTATCACTTGAAAACATCTTTATGGTTTTGCTTTTAGAGCTATTTGGCTAAAATTAATCCACACAATTTACATTTACCTCGGATTTGTAGGCAGTCATCCCACATACCCAGGAGTTCTTGTAAAGTGACAAAATCTAACCTATAAATTGTAACCACTTTTTTCAAGATAAATGATTTCAACATTGGTAACAAAAGTCACTAAATGATAACGCTGATCTTGGAAAAGATGGACATCCAGGCAGAATTCAGCAGGGAAACCTGGAGGGAACACCGGTATCACTGCGCCCCCTGCTGGGCGCACTGCCCAGACCCACCAGCCCTGGACGGGAAGGTGCATTTCTGGAAAGGGGCAGAGAGCAGGTCTCCGGCATCACCCCTGCTGGTTCCCATCCCAGCCCGACCTCGGCCTTCAAAGGCTCAGGGATCAAAGATGGGCGCATCCCACTGCATCCCTGTCACCCTGCAGAAAGCCACGGTGGAAAGGCTCTGGAGGCACGGGGACCTGGCTTGGTGGAGCAGCTCCCAAGCAGTATCAAAGGGTTGTCGTCATTGTGTCCACGGTGATCCTATAGCAGACCGTATTTCTGAGTCTTACAAGAGCCTTTACCGTATCAGTGTGATGTATTAATCATTAATGGTTTGATCTAATGCTCCTTTGACTATTATCCCAGTAAGAGGTGTGGATTCAATCTCTAGAAATACATTTATTAGGGGGGAACCAAGTGCAGGGTTTCTCTGCAATGTCCCCAAATAATGTCAAAGCCTCTCATTCATGAAACTGAAAGAGCAGTGAAGAGCCTTGCTCACACCCCAGGCCGCCCACTGGATGTGACAATCCACCACCGCCATACGCCCAGGAGGAGACGCCTGCCGGGCCTCACGTGTACACATAGGACACTTCAGTAGACGGGGTAACGGTGCCTGTGGCTGCAGAGACCTGAACGGGATCAGCCAGGTCTAATGAAAGGATGCAGGTTCTCCAGAACAACGCAGTGCCTCCCACACCCCATTTCCTGCACGGCGCTTCAGAGCTTCTCACCCCGAGGCCAGAGCCATCCTTCTCAAACAGACCAAACCGCATCACGTTCTCCCGATGGCTGGGGGCTTCCCGCTGCCCTGAGGGCGAAGGGCCTGAATAGCGACCCTCCATACCCGCCACACAGGCACTGTCCCTGCCAAGCGCCTCCCAGGCACCCTGAGAAAGTAGTCATGCAAGAGAATTGGCAGCCGCAGGTCAGGGGTAACGCTCTCCTCCCTGCCCACTCCAGCATTAACGAGTAGGTTCCTTGTGTTAATGTTGGTATAGGCCAGTGAGAACCCAGAATTCTGCAGGACAGGTGGAGTTAGGAGGGCTGTGCAAATGTGTCTTGTTTCGCTTTTTTTTTTTTTTTTGCCTGAAATCACAAGAAGTTGCTTTTTAACAATGTCCTTTTACTTTCTTCTCAAGTTGACACTGTATACAAATCAATCAAGATTTTCCTCTTTAGCACAGTCTGGCGTCCTGCCGGTTTTAAAGGACTAGCAGAGATTTAAAACACTCCCTGCCTGTCACCCTGACTTCTTAGAAGAGACAGGCAGAAGGCGGTTTCTCCACGGCTGGGCAGATGCCCACTGGCCCATCTTCTCCCTCTGGAGACATCCTGGTCACAACCACCAGTTATTTCCAGCAGCTCCTCAAGGCAGCCTCCTCTCCCCTCCACCAGCCTTGCTATGAAGCCGCATATCTAGAAACACTCTGGAGACATCTTGCAGGCCATCAGGCTCAGGCATGGTCACACGTTGTCCCACTCCCCCCAAGCTATAAATCATCTCGTGGGCACAGAGGGGTCTGCACCCTGCTGGGTCAGGCTCTCAGGGAGATGGCGTGTGGAGTCCAGTATTCCTAGTGAGGGAGGCACCAACCGGGCCAGTGGCCAGGAAGTTCAAGCCCGGCCTGCTCAGGCAGGACCTGGCAGGGCCCTGGCACAGGGACGTCTGTTGTCACCTACTTTACAGATGAGGAAATACCAAGAAAGCTGGTCAAGGTGACACAAAGGGCTGGCTGCACACCTATCTCAATCCAAAGGTCATGCTGCTAATGACCCGGAGCCCCAAAATCCAATCCCTCAAAGACCCTCAAGGCCCTTGAGGCCTGGCCTCCCTACCCTGCCCCCATCCCAGCACCCGCCTGGGCCTGACACTTCCCACTGCTCCCTCCACCTGAAACGCTGCACATTCCAGAATCACTGGCCGCTTCTCCCGGCCACCCAGGCCTCCATGTGGCCATCAAGCATTCATTAGTCTTTCCAGGCCCCTCCCCAAGCCAGGGTGTGCACGCCCATCCCACCCTTCAGCCAGGCCTTGGCCACACCAACCCGGTGTCACATCTGTGCTGCTAAATGGATATCTGTGGGCTGATGAAACAAATAAACTGGCGGAATTCTCTTTCTAACCACTGTGACACTGAGATTACCCGGAAAGGAGCAAGCCCACTCCGGAGGCAGAAACTGCAGATATGGGTCCCTCGAGATCAGCATGGATGTGTGTGGAGGCCGAGCCGGGGGAGGCTCAGGATGCCGGCGAGGACCTCACACAGAGGCGGCCCCCCAGGCAAGGGCCCCACCAGCTGCATGCAGAGGCCTGGGTCTGATCTGAGAGAGGGGAGCCGCCTGCCAAGGTGAAGTTGGTTTGCTGAGGTCTCTGATCAAGTTGGCCTCCCAAAGTGGAGTTCAAGCAGGACACGGCTAGTGCACGCACAGGGGCTAGGCGTAGGTCCCCACAGCGTTTCAGTCTAAGAGGGCAGGGCACAGCACTCATGGGGCCGGTGAGATCTCAGATATGAGCGACACGCAACCTGGGCCTCGGCAGGAAGCTCAGGGCTCAACAGCCTCCATCACTCACCCGTTATCCAGACCGTTCTGCCCGAGTTTCTTCCCCATGTCGCCGACCATCACTCCGGGCATGGGGAGAAGGGTCTTCGGGTCCCGGATCTATACAAAGTCACAGAAAGCAGCAAACAGCAACTGTTACAATCACACAAAAATCAAAACAAATGTGTTCAGAAACCCACAGGGTGGGCCACAGGCTCAACGCTGGGCAGCTGTGGGTTAAACCATCCTCCAGAAATGATACATCCAAGTCCTAACCCAGGACCTGGGAATGGGAGCTTATTTGGAAATAGAGTCCTGCAGATATAATGAATTTAAGAGCATCAAGATGAGGTCAACCTGAATCACCCAGGCGGGCCGTAAATCCCACGGCAAGTGTCCTGTGCGAGTCAGAAGAGGAGTGGGCGTGGGGAAGAGGGGGCCACGTGGAGACGGAGGCAGAGTGCAGCGCTGGGGCCACAGGCCTGGGGCCGCCAGGAGCTGGAAGAGATAGGAAGGATCCTGCCCTGGAGCCTTTAGAGGGAATGCCGCCCTAAAGATTCCTCCATTTCAGACCGCTGGCCTCCAGAGTTGGGAGAGTATATTACGCTGCTCCGAGAGCCCTGGTTTGTGATGCTTTGCTGTGGCAGCAGAGAGACTAACACGGGGGCCGGTGCTGCCGGGAGGACATCGGGAATTTCATACTCATGTTTTAGACTCAGGACTTCCCACTAGATCTTAGTAAAGTGATAAAATGGCTGCGCAAATAGGTGCAGGGGGAGAAACGGCTATGATTATTCTGGTCAATCACCATGCCCCAAGATACAGGGCCAGCCAGCTGATGGCTGCACACTGTGGGAACCCAACGGAAAGGACGTGGAGCTCCATCCTCGGGCACTGTTACCGCAGGGATTCCCAACCGTGGGACGCGCCGCCTTCCCCTTCCCCACCAGGGGACACGGGTGGTGTCTGGAGAGATTCTGGTTGTCTTAACTGGAGGGAGCTATGACACAGAGTGGGCAGAAGCCAGAGGTGCTCAGCCCAGCCCAGGGCATACAGGGCGCCCCAGTGAGCGCTACCAGCCCAAACTGTTAACAGTGCCACAGTGGAAAAGCTGCTTTAGAGAAACATGGAAGTGGTGCTGCTGGGAATGTAGCTATGTGCATGACCTGCTAGCTGGCTTCTGTTTATGTCTGTGAATTCACCATCTAACTTCACTGAGCTCTAAAATAAAGAAACACTCCAAAAGGGCTAAACCCAAATGTAAACATCCTCTCCTTTTCTAAAAGTTTTCAGCAAGACCCAATAAAGATTCAGACACTGTCACACACACACACACACACACACACACACAAAAGAAGAAAGAAACCTGCCAAAGATGCCCGCCCCTCCACCCATCAGCTCAGGTCTGCGACACGGAGCACAATCCTGTCCAAATAACCCCAAGACCACCGTTTCCATCCCTCCTTATCAGGCAGGAGGCCGTGGCTCTGGGAGGGGACTCAGGTGTCCTGAGCACTTGGTGCAGTGGCGCTCTGATGGCGAAAGGAGCGCCACAATCCTGCGGAGTGTTTCTAGCACAACATGAATGAGTCTAAAACACTGCGGTTCTATGGCCCAAAAATCAGACATGCCGAAAGCTGCTGAATTCTAGTCCAGGCAACTCCACTCCAGGTAGAAATCTATAATCACAGAAACAAGGTAAACGGGCCTCAGGTAACTACGATGCTGTCATAAAGACATATTTGGCCTTGTCCCTGCTTCCCAGCACACAACTCCTAAAACCCTTGACTCTCTGCAGTGGTGAGAGTCTTGTGCGTGCTCATGAGATGGCTGCAGACCCCTAGGTAGCTTCAGGATGAAGACCAAGGTGCAATTAGGGGGTTGGTCAGAGGCACAGGCCACAACCTGGACTTGCCATCGGCATCCAAAGGGCTGGGGAGCTTCTTGTGGGACTGAGCCCTCACTGTGGGGGGTCTGAGGCTCACCCCAGGCGAACAGCATCAGTATGGAGTTAAATTAGAGGACGCCTAGCTGCTTTCTGCTGCAGAGCTGCGTGCTGGTGGGGAGAAACCCACACACATCTAATGTCAGAGCGTTGTGTTGGCTGCATGACAGTAGGAAAAACACTTCGGTTTTGTCCTGTATCCTTGAAATGAAAAAAATCTCTCTGGTTTGCAATAGCTCAAATGTCAGGTCAACTGAAAAATAACATGAGCAACAAAAGAAAAAAACAAACATAAAACTGGACTTCATCGAAATTGAAAAACTTTGTGCATCAAATCAACTGGATGGTCTCAGCCGGAAGCCTTGGCCAGGCCCTCTCAGCTGTGTCACTGGGGAATATTGGGCTGGTTGGTTCTTTCTAAGGCAAGGGCAGGGCTGTCTGCACCATGGGCGGAGCTGCAGGATACACGGTGGGTGGGGCTGCCTGTGCACCGTGGGAGGGGCTGTGGGATATACCATAGGCGGGGCTGTCTGCACTGTGGGCGGGGCTGTCTGTACACTGTGGGCAGGGCTGTCTGCACTGTGGGTGGAGCTGTCTGTGCACTGCGGGTGGGGCGGTAGGATACACTTTGGGCAGGCCTGTCTGTGCACCGTGGGCAGGGCTATCTGTACTGTGGGTGGGGCTGTCTGTGCACTGTGGACAGGACTGTCTGTGCACTGTGGGCAGGGCTGTCTCTGCACTGCAGGTGGGGCTGTAGGATACACTGTGGGCGGGGCTGTGGGATACACTGTGAGCCAGGCTGTCTGTGCACTGTGGGCAGGGCTATCTGCACTGTGGGCGGGGCTGCCTGTACTGTGGGCGGGGCTATGGGATGCATTGTGGGGTGCTCAACAGCGTCCCTGGTCCACTCACCAGATGTCAGAAGCATCCCCCACCTAGTTATGACAAAAATGACTCCAGACATTCCCAATGCCTCCTGGGGGTAAACACTGCCCCCACTGAGGGCCACCCCAGTGTCCTACCTGCACGATAAAGGGATGCAGCCCATGGCACTGGTCCCCCGGCATGTGCAGCTTAGCAAACACCACTGCGTGAGTGGCTGTCTTGCCCATGTTGCCAACCCAAAATTTGGCAGCTTCGAAATCAGGGGAATGTATGATGAATTCCTGCACAAGGGAAAAAGGTTGGTTATAATTAGCAACTGAAGCACATGCAGAATTGGTGTTTTCCTTTTAGACAGGCTTCCATTTTCTACGTTCAAAATCTCTGAGGCAAAAGTCGAAACTGATCGCACATTTCAGCTCTTGTATGGCACGGGCAGGCCTCTTTTTTAAACAGAGCCTATTCCTGGGCCTTATGGCTTAAAGAACCTTCAGATGCAAAATACTCCACAGGCAGGCAAATGCTTCTGGGGAGTTTCCATTATCATGCACAGTCTTCATCCCTGACCACACCGCTCAGGTGGAAACCCTGCCCTGCAGTCCACTCAGTCCTTCAGGACATCTAATTCACAACACACCGCTGCCCTCTGGCTGTCTCTCCCACCCACAGCTCCATGATTGACAGTTACATCCCAAACACCCCGAGCATAAGGCAGCCGCTCAGCGCATCAGAAGGAAGGAAGGAATGAACGCATGTGTGAACTAGCAGAAGGGCTGTGGCATCACAGCGTTCGGGGTTTGGCTAGAAGGGGTGTGGACGGACCCCCCAGGAACACTGAGGGTGCTGCATGGGTTGGGAGCGAAGAGCAGGTGGGAACAGGCAGGAGCTGGGCTGCTGGGGCTGGGCCTGCCCCAGGGGCATCTGCTAGGAGCCCCGTGAGTAAGGCTGGGAGGGAGGATGTGGACCAGCAAAACTGTGTAACGTGGCCGGGATATGCAAGGGAACAAAGATGAGCGCCTTCAGGCAGACAGCCTACAGGTGGCCCACAGAGCCGCCCTGGGCCGCCTTGGGAGACACCGATCCTCCACACGGGGCTTGCCAGTCACTGCCAGGGGCTGTCAGCGGTAAGTTTTGGTTCTGGTTCCAGCCCCTGCAGGGTGGGAGGTGCCCGGGAGGGCTTCCTCCTGTCCAGCCAGTGGGACTCTGTAAACCGAGAGTAGTGAACAATCATCCTACAGGTTCTGAAGTTTCACTGAGAAGTAGGAGGTGGGGTGGCTGCCAGCCATGCCTTCTGCTCTCTTCTCTCAGGGGACCACCAGTTCTTTGCCTGCCAGAGTGAGGAGGGCTCCCAGTCTCAGCCAGGCTCTCCCCATTCACTCTTCAGCACGTGGCAGTTCTGATACCTCCACCTGTCACTCATTCTCCGCATATCCACAGGTACAGAGCTTCACTTCCTGCCACACAACGGTCCTCCCTGGCCACTGCCAACGGGAGAGGGTGGAAGGTGGGTGAGGAAACACTGGCAGGGAGACCTGGGCCTCAGGGACAAGCGGAGGCCAAGGAGAGTGACGTGGCGGCAGGGAGGCAGGGCCAGGGGAACAGAGCGGGGTGGGTGGGGACCCTCCCCAACCTCCATCCCAGGCTTGCGCCCCTCCACAACACTGACAGCCCCAGGGCATCCATCTGTAGCCCATCTCCCTCCACCCCTGCACCCCTCCTCAGCACTGACAGCCCCAGAGCATCCATCTGTGGCCCATCTCCCTCCACTCCTGCGCCCCTCCTCAGCACTGACAGCCCCAGGGCAACCATCTGTGGCCCGTCTCCCTCTACCACACCGGAAGCTCCCAGGCAGCGGACTCGATGCAGGTACCAGAGAGGTCAAGACGATGGCAAGGGCCCGAGGAATCAGACTGCGGTGGCAGAAATGGACAAGGTAGGCTGTTCACAGAGGGACAGCCACAAAGGGCAGAGGGCAGGGAGCACGTTGTATCCACGGGGCCCACCGTAGAAACCACGGGCCATGTGAACAGTTTATGAATCCACTATGAATAGGCAGCCAGGTAAACAAGGTTATAAATGTTACAGAATGAGGGCTTCTTCACTGCACTCAAATTACACACAAATCCAAACCACGGTCAATTCCCCATAAAGCTCGTGGTGGGCACAGGCTTTGTCTTCCAACGCCTGGTCTCCTGAGCCCCACTTTTCAGTGTGATGAATCTCAGTGTGTATTTCTACATACATGTATGTGGACAGGCCTCTTGCTTTAATTTTTTTTCTTATTCCTGGCAACCACATTTGCACTCCTGACATTTCATACGCTCCAAACCCAGGGAGCCAGCGGAAGGTAACACCTACCTTAGTGGCAGGATCGTAGTGGGCAGTTGTACGAATGGCCTTGGTATTACTGCCGTGGCTTAACTCAGTCAGAGCAAAACATCCAAAAATCTAAAAGTCAAAGCACAAAACGATGAAAAGCAAGAAAAGTTCTTGGTGCACATGCCCAGAAGGCAAGTGCTGCCATCTTTCCTTTAAAGATGAAACCACATATCAAAGCCCCAAATTTCCATCTACCCAACTAGTGACTTGACTGAGTCGTGCTGCCACGCTTGGCTGGCAACCACAGCAGCCTAAACCAAGCTGACCGCAGCTGCTCCAAGTCAGCAAGGTGGCAGGAACTGCTTGTCAGAAGACAGTGGAAGGCCTCCGCGACAATTCACCTGGTGCTAGGAAGTCAACGTGCCTGTGTTTGCTAAAGAACAGTGCTAATTGGTGAGAAGCCTGAGAACACTAGGGAACAAGAAGAGCATGAGCCCCCTAGGCACCCCCTTCTACAATTGTCCCTTTTCACAAATCTCTACGGAGATCAAGCAAGAGAACTAGGCTCACAATTCCCCGGGAGCCAGAACTTACCTCCATACTGAAGATCTTCTGAATATAGGTGAGATGTCTTTCAGAACCAGAACTGTAAACTGCTGATCCAAAAACCTGAAAGTATAACATTGTCCTATCAACAAGGGCAGGTAAGAAGAGTACGGCTCTTCCGGAACATCACAACAGACGACGGCACGCTAACACCACGCCCACCCTGGTTCCCTGCCACAATGCACTTTCCCTGAGGTGGAGAACGAAGCAACGAGAGGTTAGCCAGCAGCCAGCAGCCCAGATGCCCCAGGCCAGGGTCTCCCGACACACAGCGGCCCGGGTCCCTGAGTTCATGTGAGTGGTAAGACCTGTGTCCCTGTGCCGAGCAGCTTGTGTAAGGCACACAGAATCACCTGGGACTTAAGATGCCTGCAAGGAGTCCTGGGGGTCTGAGGACAGCAGGGAGACAGAACAGGAGGGTGTGTGGAGCGCAGAGGCCACTGGTCCATCAAACATTGCAGGCAAGGCTACGGGCAAAGCCATTTTGCCCAAGCTCAGCTCTGCTGGTATGTTACAAAGGAAGGAAAACACAGGTTTCTTACTTTGGCCTACTTTTTTTTTTTTTTTTTTTTTTTTTTTGTATGAGGCAAAAAAAAAAAAAAAAAGAAAAAAGCCCCACCAGCTCCTCTTCTGATGGGACTTGAAGCTTCACCACATTGTATTTTATTCAAGGACTTATGTGTGTAAATTTGCAAATACATGATGGTGGATGGGCTTGAAAATAAAAGAATGAAAAGGGGGACTGAAATTTTTAAAAAAACATTAAAAAAGATAATTTAAAAAATTTGCAAATATAGCTGGAAACACTGGAGCTTCTCTGCCTCCCGGTTGGCCCTGGGACAGGCATCCCTCAAGGCTCAGCATAGCAGGCGAAAGCTGTGTCCTTCTCCCCTAGGCTGCACGCTCACCAAGGTATGGAGGAGGTACTTGGCAGCCAGAGAAGAGTCATACATCCCCAGGCACTGAATCAAGGCGGGGACCTTCAGAGGGCTCCTGAACATGTCCTCGACACTGAGGAAGTCATACTCGAAGATCCGCTTGCATCGAAGGAAGTTCAGCTCACGATACTTGTCCAAGGACAGATCGGCTCCAGGGGAACGGGCGAAAAGAGGGTCGTTCTCGAGAGCTGAGAAGATGGTTTTCTGGAAATGCAGGAGATGGGGAAGGTTTATTTGGAGTAAAAGATGAACTCTCCATGTGCCCTTATATAGTTTACCTCCAGGTCACAGGCTTCATGGGACGCTGTCTGACTTAACAGACACCCAGACAGAGATATGACTATCATTCCCAACAGACTAGAGGGCTGCAGGCTTCAGAAACATCAACAATCCATGTTCATTTCCAGACTCCTCATCAGTTCCCTGAGGCCTATCCTGGGGTGCAGAAAGGAGAGCGGCTGCGCTGCCTGGGATGAGCCTCACCCGGCAGAGGGGGAGCTGTAAGAGCCAGAAATTCCATTGTGCTAATGAATTAAGACCCCACCGGGAAAAAAGACAAGCTGCACGCAACCGCACACCTCACCTTAAAGCGGAGCATGTCCTCCCCTTCCGTGAACAGCGCCAGCTCCTTCCAGCTGAAGGATGCTCTTGCCCGGTAGGCGTCCAGGGGTCCCCTGGGGAATTCTGGGAGCAGAGCTGCGTCACCTCCTTCTACAGTGGGTGCCATCGTGTGACGAGAGCCTGCACAAAACATGCAGCCTGAATCCATGTGCTCCCATCTATGGGTTCAAACCACCCCCACCAACAGGAGAGCTGGCAACACCTTACAAATCAGAGAAAAGCAAACTCGAAATCCAAAAGGATAGCAAAAGAGAGTCGCCCTGCGAATGGCTAACATCATTTTCCCAAAAGAAAAGGCGAGAAGAATTCCCTCGTCCACTCCTGAAGACAGATGCCAAGGACACAGAAGAGAGCCAGGCACAGCCTGGGGATCACCAGGCACACAGTGCAGAGGGTTCGTCGGAGGCCTTGCTTTCTGTTGCACAGCCTTGCCTGAGAGCACCGTGCCCTCTTGGGAGCACCTTGGACATCCAGACCCATCCCCAAGGCTCACTAAACCCAGGGTCAGGAAGCATTCCCTCTGGAATCCAGCCAGTGCCAGCTGGTTCACTCTGGCCACACACGATGGTACCTCATGTCCCCACCCACCGGCGCCGGTCCACCTGGACACAGGACCTCTGGCACAGGCTTCTGCACTGATTTTCCCTCGACATATAGACACCTGGCTTCCCGCTAACACAGCAGGCCTCCCAAACTCAGCTCTCTTGACCAAATAACCATTCTGGAATTTTCTGGATAGACTGGGTCCTTTTCCAAGTGGCTTGGCTGATGAAGGTATTGAAGGGAATGGCTAGTGAACCCAGGTCTGGCTGAGTCCCGGGCGTGGGCCCCCCACCTTCACTCTTTAAGGCCTAGAGGAAAGAGGAACTTTTGAGTCCTTTGAGCTGAAACAGCCTGCGGTGCTGGAGCCTGAGTCTGGCTTGCTATTCTGTCCTATCCTTCCTTACAATCGGAGGAAAGTACAGGGCACCGGCCAGCCGGTTAAAAACGATTAGCGTGGCCGCCGGACTTAAGACTCAGGTGTGAGGCTTTCTGGGAAAAGGTTTTCTAACAACCCCCAACCCTTCTGGGTTGAGCACTGGTCTGCTGGAACCAGCTTCCACTTCCACAATTTTCTTGGGGAAGCCATGGGCTGACTAGAGGCTGTCACCCCAAACTCCCGGCATTGGCAGGTCCAGAAGTCTCTACTCAACAGTCGCCCATGCGCGCGCCCTCTCTCTCCTCTGACCCATACCTCCTGCGTCCCAACCACGACTTTCTTGAAAGTGTAGCCCCCAAAATTCTCCTTACCTCTGAATCTGCTTCCTCTGATCTCTACTAGGTACTAATGCTTCAGACTTTCACTTCCTCTCCCAAGTATTAATGCAAGTTGTATCTCCAAAGGGATCTAAGGAAGCTCTACGCTGTGTCCTTAGGCACCTAGGGTATGAACCCAGACAGTCTTGTCCCTGGCATCCCTCCCAATTTAGGTATACAGCTCTCGACATGGGCAGTTATGTGGGACCTACCACTGTTGCCAGGGCCCCAAGTTTGTAAATGGCTAGGAGGATTGCTCTCCCGCTGTGTGAGATGCTCTCCTCCCCCAGTTTCTACCCAGCTTACCTCCCCCACTGCAATACAATCTCTAAGCCTTAGCTCCTTGGCCAGGGCCTTAGAACTGATGACCCGGTACTTTAACAACTGGAACTATGTCTACAACAACACAATAGATCAGGATGAAAGCGAATTGAGTAAATTAAAGGGAGGCACGGGGAGGGGGGAGGGATAGCATTAGGAGATATACCTAACGTAAATGACGAGTTAATGGGTGCAGCACACCAACATGGCACATGTATACCTATGTAACAAACCTGCACGTTGTGCACACGTACCCTAGAACTTAAATTTAAAAAAAAAAAAAAAAAAAGGGAGGCACATGTTCCTATAGTGGCAAATGGGGCAACGAGCGAATGTACTTCCGCTGTGTTCCCAAAATCCATCTACCAAGAGAGAAAAAGAGAGGGAAAGAGAAATAGAGAGAGAGAAGAGAGAGAAAGAGACAGAGGGGGAAGAGAGAAGGGCAGAAAGTCAGAGAGAGAAAGAGAGAGACGAAAAGTAAAAGAGAGAAAGGAAGAGAGAGATATACAAGTAGTTAAGAAAAAAACAGTGCACCTCATTCCTTTAAAAGCCAGGGTAAATTAAAAACCTATAATTGATAATTCAAGGTCTTCTCCGTGACCCTGTAACACTCCAATACCACCTTGTTGTCAGTTAAACAGTGTAATGCAGACATCAGGAAAAAAACTTCAAAACTCCATCTCAGGCCCAGAGTAAAACTTACAAACCCTATTGAACTTGGCAACCTCAGTTTTTTTTAAATAGAGATCATGAGGAGCAGGTAAACCCTATTGAACTTGGCAACCTCGGTTTTTTTTTTTTTTACAAGAGATCAGGAGGAGCAGGCGGAAGGGGACAAATGGGCCCTCAGGCTAGCGGACGTTTGCCCCCATTTGCTACTATAGGAATATGCACCTCGCTTTAATTTACTCAACTGCTTTCATCCTGATCTATTGTGTTGTCGTAGACATAGTTCCTGTTGTTAAAGTACTGGGTCATCAGTTGAGGCCCTGACCAAGGAACCAAGGCTTGGAGATTGTATCGCAGTAGGGGAGGTAAGCTGGGTAGAAATTAGGGGAGGAGACTTTGGAGGCTCTGGAAAGGGGAAAGGCTGGGCAAATTGAATGCCTAATAGGGCTTGTTTGCAGTGCGGTCTACAAGGACACTTTAAGAAAGACTGTCTGAATAGAAATAAGGCGCCCCCTCATCCATGCCCCTTATGTCAAGGAAATCACTGGAAGACCCATTGCCCCAGGGGACGAAGGTCCTCTCAGTCAGAAGCCACTAACCAGATGATCCAGCAGCAGGACTGAGGGTACCCGGGGCAATCGCTAGCCCATGCCATCACCCTCACAGAGCGCCAGGTAGGCTTGACCATTCAGGGCCATGCCACTGTACTACCAGCTCCCCTTACCAAGAGTTTCTGTGGAGAATGTGGCTTCCCAGAAATACTGATGCCCCATCATACAGGAGTTTTTCTAAAGGAAACCCCACTTTCACCGCCCACACCTATATGCCCCTGCACTTCAGGCCATACATTTCAATCCCTGTATCTTTAACCTCCTTGTTAAATTTGCCTCTTTCAGAAATCAAAGCTGTAAAACTACAAATGGTTCTTCAAATGGAGCCCCAAATGCAGTCCATGCCTAAGATCTACAACGGACCCACGGACCGGCCTGCGAGCCCACGCTCCGATGTTGATGACATCAAAGGCACCCCTCCTGAGGATATCTCAACGGCACAACCCCTACTACGCCTCAATTCAACAGGAAGCAGTTAGAGTGGTCGTCACCCAACTTCCCTAACAGCACTTGGGTTTTCCTGTTGAGAGGGGCACTAAGAGACAAGACTAGCTGGATTTCCTAGGCCAACTAACAATTCCTAAGCCTAGCTGGGGAAGGTGACCACACTCACCTTTAAACATGGGGCTTGTAACTCAGCTCACACCCAATCAATCAGGTAGTAAAGAGAGCTCACTAAAATACCAGTGACGCTAACAACAGGAGGTAAAGAAATAATCTGATCATCTATCATCTGAGAGCACAGGGGGAGGGACAACGATCAGGATATAAACCCAGGCATTCAGGACGAATTACGCAACCCCCTTTGGGTCCTCTCCCATTGTACAGGGAGCTCTGTTTTCACTCTATTAAATCTTGCAACTGCACAGTCTTCTGGTCCATATTTGTTCCGGCTTGAACTGAGCTTTCGCTTGCCACCCACCACTGCTGATCGCGGCTGTTGCAGACCCGCCGCTGACTTCCACCCCTCGGGATCCAGCAGGGTGTCCGCTGCGCTCTGATCCAGCGAGGCACCCATTACCGCTCCCAGGCTAGAGGCTCGCCACTGTTCCTGCGTGGCTAAGTGCCTGGGTTCCTCCTAATCGAGCTGAACACTAGTCACTGGGTTCCATGGTTCTCTTCCGTGACGCACAGCTTCTCATAAAGTTATAACACTCACTGCATGGCCCAAGGTTCCATTGCTTGGAATCCCTGAGGCCAAGAGCCCCAAGTCAGAGAGCAAGAGGCTTGCCGCCACCTTGGGAGCTGCCCGCCACCACCTTGGGAGCTCTGGGAGCAAAGATCCACCAATAACAATGCCTGGATAGTGCCCAGCGTCTAGACAGGGTCTACTGTGTGGGCTGCTACATTCCAAATACAGTGAGGTCTGGCTAGTGCCCAGGGTCTACTGTCTGGGCTGCTGCATTCCAAATACAGTGACGCCTGTCTAGTGCCCAGGGTCTACCATCTAGGCTGCTGTCATTCATATGAGAGGCTCCGAGCAGCTCCTGGCATGGAAGTGGGGGCTTCAAAATCACTATTCTGGCAACAGCCTCCACCAGTCTTCTCCCTGCGGTGCGGATCACTCTCCCTTTCCTGAACAGCTGCCCAGTTCAATGTGCAAAGCCCTCCGAACGCCCAGCACGTGGGCCACCTGCACTCCCGGCCCCTGCTCTGTGTAACCCTGGCCCCGCCACCCGCCAATCCGCACAGCTCCCACGCCCCAGGGCCTGGCATGTGCGGTGCCCCCTCTCCCGACCCGCCGCGACCGCGCCCCGGGGGCTAACGCAGCCTCCACCTTCGGGCTCGCCAGTCCCCGCTGCTTTGCACGGTCCAACTCGCGCAGCAGGCGCTCAGGGGATGCCTGTCGGGCCGCGACCAACCCGGCAAGATGAGGACTAGCTGCCCGCGCAGCGCTGCTGTCTCCAGCCTGGCCCCACTGCGGTCCCGCAGTGCCTCTCGGCCTCCGTCCGTCCCATGGGCGG